CAGGCTCACCAGATCGTACATGTCCGTGCGGACAATCTGGTCGGCGTCGACGAAGATCACCTTGTCAAGCGATAATGGGAAGAGCACGTCCAGGAATAGGATCTTGTAACCCCAAATCTCACGCTGCTTCTCTTTCTGACCTCGCAACCAATGTGGCCACTTGTAGGTGACCATTTCGTACGAGAATCCGTATTCTTTTGCCAGATGTGGCAAGAAAGACTTAAACGATGGTGACAAAAACTGCTCAATGAACCAGAATTTCACGGTATGCTTAGTATGCTTCATGACAGACACCATCATGATATTCAGCATTCGTTCGTAAAGGTGGCCGCTGGCGACGGAAAAGATATTGATGTCCGCGTGTTTTTCAGCAGTCCCACTCTTCGGACCGATTCCCACGTTGGAGAGTATGCCGGATGCGAAATTCAATCCCTTAGAGACATAGTCCATGGCCGAACCTGGCTTTGCGCCCGTCTCCAACACGTCTTCGTTTTCGTGACCCGGCTTTCGGGAGAGTCGAGGGAAGAGAGTCTTTCCCTGGAAGGACAGCAATGCAACTTCATTGTTCTCGTCGCCTGGTTGTGGAATATACCCCATGCCACCGACACTGTCGAGGTTGAAAATGCGTTGGCTGCGTCCTGGTTTGAGTTCGATCTTCCAGAAGCCCGGCTGGGCCTTGAATTGGAAGTAGCCCAAGTTAGCCATGATGATCGTGTCAGCAAAATGGGGGTCTTTGTCGGTTCCAAGAAGTAGTTGGACGCCTCTGGGTGGCGAGTTGGTCGTCGTATCCCGAGAGTGGCCCTCGATCAGGATATGTTCAAGAGCGTAAATGGCATCGATATTTGTGCCTTCCTTTAGCGAACTCAACTTGATGTTGTCCAGGTCATGGATCGATTCTTTAGGTGCAACGAGCCAGGAGGAAGGAACATCCATGCCTAAGGTAAAGAGTGCTTCCTTAGGGAGCCCAGAGAAAGATGCCCCGGGGCGAATGAGAGAGCCCTCCTCATCAAAGGATGGTTCAGGTTCCAGGACATGGCGATAAAACCGCTTTATTGGGAGCTCTTGGATGTGATCTCGCGGGCTGAGGAAGATCTTGACATTGACCCCGGCTAGCTTCGAGAGAGTTTTGAGGATCGGAACCCATCTCTGTGACAACTCCGCTGTAGGGTCAACAGTTGCAACAATACTGATCGTGGGATCGTCAGAATTAGAAACGGTTATGGCGGAGTGAGTGTCATTCCAATTCTTGAAAATATTCTGACGCAGCTTCGAGGTTGACTCAAAGAGACCTTCAGGGACGTCTGGGATTGTGGACAAAGCAACAAGGGATGTCAACTTAGCAAAACTTAGGGTGTCTGGAATCTTCGATTCCAGTTTGAGAGCTTTGAGGGCCTCTGAGACGGGCTCAAGTCGCTTCGACCGCTCGTAAGACAAGAGCTGCTCGAAGTCTTTCTCAGAAAGGCTGACATTAGACGGCAGAGGCCCGACTGCCCTTCCATTCAGAACAACACCACGACTACCAGGAACGAAGCCAAAATCTTCAACTATTGGCTTGGCCTCTGTCCAGTATGCAGGTTCTTCAGCAGTCGACTCCGAAGACTTTAACGATTCGATCTCAGTCAGCAACTCAGAGATATCGGTCCTATCTGCCCTCGTAAGGACCTGGTAGAGCAGAGATGAAATGCCAGAGGAAGGTTTTTCGACGTCTGGATTGTGAAGGGGAATAACTTCGACCTCGCCATGAGATTGATGCAGTTTAAGGGCAGTGGTAAGCAGCTCGAGGCCACGCTCGGTATTGAAGTCTCCAATGACGACAAGGTGAACGTTGTTCGTGGCATGGCCTTCACCTGAGGCGACACGTAGAAGATTATTCATAACGTCTTGGCGAGAATCAGCGACTTGAGGAAGGTCCACTATCCGAACATTGCTCGCATCCTCGGGTATTATCCATTCATTTCGGCTTTCAGCAGCTTGAAACAGGAAGTAGCTTGGCAGCCAAGTGTCTTCTTGGAAGACCTCTTCCAGGACACCCTGCTGAAGAAGTTGTAGGTCCCTATTAAGTCGCATAGGCATCTCCTGTAACCAGTTTTCATTACGAGTCAAAACAACACCATTGACCAAAGAAGGCGGGGATGGCCCTTCCATGTCTAGCCGTTTGAGGTACTTGGCAGTCCGCAGAACGACATCGTCAAGCTCTTTGGATTGCAAGACTTCTTCAAATGTCAGAGACTGTCGACCGGATCGGACTGGCCGATCTGCCACCGCAGCTTGAAAGGCTGACTTGTCCGCTGATGCGATCTTCTTCTTAGACAAAGCCTACACATAATTAGCAATGGCCATGGCAAAACGGGTGGCAAGCCCGAGCATGAAGGAAAATTCTTACCTCCTCAAAGTATTTCAGGAGGGTTGCTAGTCCATAGGTTTCATGCAGGTGATGAGCGACCTTGGCCTGAGAAGTAGAATCGTGGGAGTGAACAATAGGCACCAATCCAAACCTCACAGGGACCCCTCGCTTAATGAATGTCTGGATGTAGTTGACAAGCAAGAGAACGTCGGCCTCACTGGCTAGATCAATGGGGACGATGACGTTAAAGATATCTCGCCGAACGCTTGGAAGCTGACCAGGGAATGTGCGTTGTAGGAGCTGGTAAAGTCAGCAAGAGGCTCAATTGACATAGAATAGGGATGAATCCTACCGCCATGATACTAGTGGGCCAATCTTCATATCTCTTATCCTTCTCGAGATTATTCATCCAGATGATGACGACTCCACCTTCAATATCGTCACGCCAATCATAGCGTTGTGGTTCGTTGTTTGCCTGCACTTCTGCCAGAGCACGATGAGAAAGGAGGTCCACTGCCTCTGAGGCAGATAATCCCAGCTTCTTGAAGTCGGCTATCAGCTTTCTCTCGCGCCGAAGATGCTCCAGCAACGAGTATGCATCGATCTGCCTGGGGTCGATCTGAATGCCATTTATCCAAAAGATTTTACGGCCTGCGGGAAACCCAGCTGCGCGGTTCCCATGGTATTCTTTCAAAAACTTGTCCGTCGCATTGTAATCAGCGATGGACGAGGAATACTTTGGGAAATCCCGGGTCAGTTTCAGGAGAGTGTCGAAGGGCTCAGCACTGTCCATGACGAAACTAGCAGAGTTCAATCCCAATCTGTCTACCTCCGAGGATGATAAAGGCTTCAAATCCGCTGGAGAGTCATCTTCCAAGTCATCTGTGTCCGGTGTTGTAACTTTTGTCCGCTTAGGATCTTTTTCGTCCTTCGCTTCGGCCTGACGGTCATCAATCACAATATAGTCTGTACGTTTCAGAGCCAGCTCGACACCGTAACCAGTCACAAACACGGGCCGGGGGTCTTCGTGCTGAGGGGGCCTGTATCGGACGCGATACGAAACCTGGCCTTCCTTTGCCAAAGCACTCAGCTTCTGGTGGAATTCACCGAAGACGGGGGAAGCAACGTCAGCGTAAAGAACGGCCGGCGGTGCGGATAGGTCTCCAAAGGTCCGATCAAAGGGCAACTCTCGGGGATTGCTGCGATCGCAAGATTAGCGTGGAATTTCCGGTGATGTAGAATTTTAAAGAGGATCGCTCACAGTTCCCCCGCGACGTCCTGCTGAGCTCGCTCCAAGGCCGAGGAACAATACTGCTTCCCATCCATGTGCACCCACACTTGACAAGCAGCATCTTGAGCCGTCCCCAGCGAGTACTGCACGGAAGTATTATAGTACTGGTAATGTGCCTCAATCCTCGGCGCCGCTGATCGAATCGCGAGAGCGAACTTGAAAGAGGAAAGACTTTCCTCGTCCGCCAGATGTCCATCTTCGCGCACGACCTTCAAGAACCGATCGTAAAGCTGTTTCTCCGTTACTGCATCCTCGAAGACACCTTCGGAAATACGGTCCAGAAGCGGGAAATAGGCAGTCGAGTTTTCTCCTGCGGCAGTCTCTCTAATTGAGGTATGAACACTGTTAGCTCCTGCTCGATAGACTAAGCGCTTCGCCGCAGGTGACTGCCAAACTCACAGAAGCTCCAAGAGATACGGTCCAGCGTTAAAGGAAGCTTGTAGAGCCACATTGACGGACGGTCCTGCGCAAACATGGAGAGGAAGCAGGAGCAGCAGGGCTGTGATAATGCCCGAGGCAGTCACATGCCAGGAGGGGGTTGCATGTTTGATGAAGCCCATCTTTCTTGCCTTCAAAGACGGACCAGCAAGGCAAAGCTGCTTTGTGGCCCCAAAAATCGAAAAGAGCGAAAATGACAGACTGGCCAGTCCGGGCGGCCAGTTGCACTCTGGACAATGGCAAGCCGTTCCAGAGTACTACCTCCTGTAGGTTAGGGATGTAGCCCAAAGCTCATGCAGGCGCGACGAATGAGTGATCGCGCATATTGCGAAAGAAACTCGAAGATCGAGAACAATAGAAAATGCGCAAGTTATGGAATGGAACAATAAATGAGCTGCAAAAAAAAGAAACAGAGCCTCCAAATCACAGTGCCGTACCAGAACTGGCCAACACCGCAGTGTGAGACAGCTGGTCTGGACAACTATCGATTACAGTGACGCTAAAGTCGGACGGGTAGCTCGATCGCGTTCGGCGTTCCTATTGGCTAGGACCCTTTCCCGCCCGCCGTGTCTTTGGTATCTATACAACTTTAGGTACCTAGTAAGAATCAGAAAACTCTTAGCTTTTAGAGATCACTATTTTTGTTATATGACGCAGCAACAAATTTCTGTACTGATCTTCAAGTGAATTGCGCAGCAAAATCATATCCTGACGCGAGGATTAATGTGTTATCAGACGCCTAGGTGCTTTGCCCTTGGCGACCGATTCACCCCTTAGGCATCACAGCAAGCTACAAGGTAAAGTTAATCAAGTGTCACTCAGCTAATAGCTGTCTTCCTCTGGTGATATCGATTATTAGCTTTTCAGCTCTCATAGAAAAGACAATCGTCCACTCGAGTCTAGTTCAACCACTATTTAAATTTTTTACTGCTAGTTGGTGTATTGTCGTTGTCTAAACAGTACAGTACAAGAAAAGCTTCAAAATAGAGGATTGAAGGTCAAGTAATATCTACTTCACAGTTTCTCCTCATTCCTTTTCCTGTCAATTGGTTTTCTAAACACTTGTAATCACAAACTTTTGGAGCTTGGGGGTTCGATTCCTGATGCCCACCCACGCTATGCACAACTCCTCCGAGATGCAAACACTGGTTACACATGGGCTCTTTTCCACACTGTACATAGCCCCATGGTCATAGAAGTAACAGGGTCCTTTTCATAAACAGTCATATCCATCCGGCTCACGCCAGTTTCCGTGTCGTTTACAAAAAAAAAAAAGAAAAAAGAAAAAAAAAGGTTCCACGATACACCAAACTCCCCTTGTCAAACCATGCAATCCGGTCCACAGTAACCCAGGATCACCATACAAAACAAACCAGAACTCCGTATCCTTTCACAAAATGCAATGCATTCCAAGCAGTAGGCCCGTTCCAGTCGTTCACACAGTCAGTGAATGTAGATTGCAAAATTCTTAGCGCAGAGTCGCCTCAGTGAGCCATGTGACTCGCTTGCTTCTCTTGCTGTTCTTTCTTTCTCTGGTTGGCTTCCCAGATCAGTCTCTTGCGCTTGAATTCCTCGATGTCAAACATAGTATCCTCGTTGGAGCTAGAGGAATTCCCGCGCCCGATGCCAAGAGCTCCAGAGGACTTCATCTTCTTGGAAATGCTCTTCGCCTTATTCTTGCCCTTGGAAGAATTCTCTTGGATATCAGCTCGTGAACGCATCTTGCGGATCTCCTTGGCAATCCTCTCCAGGGTAGAACCGCCGGACTTGGGAGGGTTGACTTCGGGCCACGGCGGAAGAGGTTTCTCCATAGAACCTCCGTCGCTGCGATTACTCGGGGATAGACGTCCATCGGACGAACCAAAACTGATGCCCGAGTCAACCTTCCTCTTGTGACCCCAGCCGTGGGATTCTTCCAGTGTGTCCCGGGCTTTGACATCTTGACATTCGTCGATGAGATCATTGGCCGCTCGGAGGTACTTGTCCAGGGTCTCGCGGACCGCTGGCCAGGCGGTTTCCTCCCCCTCACGGGCTCCTTGCTGCATCACCGTATTTAGAATTTTCTTGCCATTGACCTCGACACCCGTGATATAGCGCCAGAATCCATCCCGTTGAGACTGAAGGATGGTGGGAGTCAGGTAGGGGGTAGGCTGCGCGGTGGTTGCAGTCACTGGGGGAAAGAGAGTATTAAGCATCGCAAGACAATTCGCTTTGTTAAAAGGCTCCAACATCATCTCATTGATCAGAATCTATGGACTGTCAGATATTCAGTCATTTAAGATTGGAAGCGTTGTCACTTACCCAGCGACGCAAGCCCACGTAGACATGGGTATACAGTGCTTGCACCTTACGCTCTTTGTCCTCAACAGACTCAATCCAGCGAACAACGCCAGGGTATTTCTTCCGCAATTCTTCTTTCTGATCCAGATTGCCACGCTGAAAATCCAGCCGCTCAAAGGCCTCAGCAACCTCCTTCTGACGGCGCATCTCTAGATCCTTGAGGTAGTCAAGCGCGGTAAGGGCCTGAGGGAAATCAACCTCCTCCAACTGAGGGGTGAAACATCGGCGGATGAATGAGGTGGTAAAAGCTGTGGGGAGGGAGCACGGCTGGGTGGGCAATCGCGCGATCAGCGCCATCAACTGCGCCCTAAACTGGGCAGCAGGGTCCGATGGTGGGAGGTTCGAGGACGTCTGTGTATTGCCACGTGCGAATGCAGAGTCCTGGAACGTAGTCGGAGTGGTAGACTGAGCCATAAGCGAGCGAGATGCACAATTCAGAGTGTACATGGTGCGGAGTGGGATCTCATAAGTTCCGGGGTAGGTGAGGTAATGCTCCAAGATTAAGGGCAGAGCAGAGCCATCCGAGTGCTCCAGGCCCTGTCCGCGAGCTGGCTTCTTGGAAGAATGGCCAGTCATGGTGGCAGGAAAGAAGTAAACAATATCGACCCAGGGTGCGAGTCAGGACGGATGAAATGCAGCGAGTGAGGATGACTGAGGGCGAGGGGGGAGGTCGAGAAGAAGCGAAGGTGGCAGAAAGTAAAGCGAGCGTTAAAAAGATGGACACTGCTTGGGCGGTCGAGTAAGGAAGGACGTGTGCCAGGTTTGTTGACGTCTGACGTGGGGTTCAGTTATCGTGGTTATCGGAGGTTTGCATCTGGAGGACGCTGGTTGGTCTCTTGATATCTTCTCGCCAGTTTCCCCCGGATAACTCCTGATGCCGATCCTCTGCCTGTCTTTCCCGTCTGCTCTGGGGAGAAAATTGTTCGAATGGATCTCACAGGCAGGAAAGCCAATGCCAGACCAAGAACGAGTATCAGAGTTGTGTAAACGAGTCGCCGCCCTGAGCCAATATTGCAAGAACCCAATCAACAACACGAGGGGAAACAACCAAGATCTGGTCAGTGTCGTCGAAGTCAGAACTGCAGGACCAAAAAGACAGAGCACATGCAAGCGAACGAAGGCAGTCAGCCCTGGACAGAGGAGGGGGGATCAGGACTCTGTCAGGGCCAGCTGAGCAAGCAAACCACCCGGAGAGGGAGTGATGTTTACAACTCGAAGGGGTGGAGAGGCGTAGTTATTATCGGGACCGTTACTATCCGGCCTGATCGAGCTTAATAACTTAATATTATTGCTCCTGTCCGGTCAGGTTTTTGGAACCGCGTGGTCCATGCGGCGGGACGAGTCCGCGGCAACACGGGGAAGCAGTCAGTAGCGTAAACAGTGAGCCGACGCCAAGTGAGCCTGAGTCGGCGCCTGAACTGCCTCAGTCCAGACTTCAGGCGTTCTAACTTCTAAGCTCTCGGAGACGCAGGAAGGATCTGCGCAGGAATGCCTGCCCGGTCGGCGTCGTCAACGGGCCGGGTTGTGATCGAGAACGCGTCTGCAGAAGCGACAGTCTGGCAGGGGAGCCGCGTGCACGCCGATTGGGCAGGCAGCGGCTCTAGTGACTGCCGGCGACGCAGCAGGCACCGGCATCATGGGCCTTGGACCTTCGCCAGAGCTTGCCGGGCTCCACGCTAGGCACTGCGCCTGGCTTCCGCGGCACGCTAAACGGAGTATTCTTCTGCTCGCCTACGATGCAGCCGTCAAGCTGCTGCTGCAGTGCCAGCTTTCGTACCCGTCAACCGGAGTCCGCTCGCCGGGGACATGGCCTGCCCAGGATGTCCATTTCCGCACGCTCATTGGCTGCGTTCGCCCACCTCAGCCTTAACCTGTCGGGTCTCCAGGAGAGGGGAAGACCTGTCCAGTGGCACTGACAACCACCCTTGCATCTGTCGCCTACACATCCCCTTCGTCCATGCACACGCCACACGATCGATACAAGTACACTCTGGGACTCGCACAGGATGATCCGTACAGCCAGTGGCAAAGACGCATCGGAGATCGAGAAGTGGGTAGCCGCCAAAGGCTAAAATCTCAAGATTGGGCCAGCGCCTCGAATCCGGCCGCCTGTTTCCCTGCATGATCTTATCGTGAGAGGCTCTGGACAACCGCGCCGTCTGATTCAAGGGGGTTCCGAGCATATAGATCAAAAAACGACCAAGGGCCACCCTGGTGAGCGCGATTATTTATGGACGAGTAATTGATCGATGTCACTACCTCATTCGGCCACCTGCAGTTCCATTTATGATGACAAATTATTGATGGAGCTCGAACTCTAGCCTCACAATCTGACAAAGGAAGAAACTGTGAAGGATCCATTCCCCTGTCGTATTCGACCTGGCTGGAAAGGGCAGCAGGGCTGCAAGAAGCTACTGGGATGGGTCCTGTGCAAATAAAGGGAGACAAGCTAACTCGAAAATTGGACCTGGTGCATCCCAATTCAGGACCCGCTTGTGAGCTTGAAAGCGAATTTATCCAGATCTCCTTGGTTTTCCAAATGACCGTCGGTTTAACAAGTTTCGCGGGTACTGACCTCCTAGATATACGGAGTATGTATAGTACCGCTATGGCACCTATTGTCCGACTCAACTTAGAATTCGACCCGGGGAGCTTGTAAAACCTGCAGTTGCAGTAGCCTCTCATCATCAATGATCTTCTTCATGGCGCGTGTCTGGAGATCTGCACGTTGCCTCAGAAACATTGCATATGCGCGTGTGCGCGCTTCACGATCTCGGTGTCGCTGCGACGGCTGGACACAAAGGCAACCTGCATTGCATGATAGATCTCATACGGATCGTCGACTCGTCGGGGCAATATGATTCCCAAGTCTTGGCGGATCATGACGACGCTAACGATGCAGGCCCTGTACTGACGTGGTACACCATGTACTGTAGCACAAAGACAATGAAGAGCCTTGTAGACGTCTCGATTGGGCCCAGACACCGGCTGAAGATCCCGTCAAAACGAAGTACTCTCAATTCTGTATGAGTCAGTGCCAGCACTAGGTTGAGTCTTAGCAGTTCTCGAGATCTGCGTGTCGATGCCAGTTATCTAATACTATATGTTGATCTTCGATCCAACTTTGGGTGAGGGACCCTTTAGTCTCACGCAAAAGCTTGTGGATTCCCCAGTCCAATCGTCGCTGGCGGCTGTTGGATCACATATCCTGGCAACAACTCGGAAACTACTCCGGAGATATGGCATGGCTGCAGGTGATTGCTGCCTGTTACCGGGATGTTCTTTCGGACTAAGTCGGGGCTGACTTGGAAAACAGGTTGCGTTATCGTAAACTTGTCATCGCCGAATAGGGCAAGCGTTCTTCTGCATAACTCGAGTTCCTGCATGCTGCAGATGCCGGTTAGTTGCATTCAGCAGGTACAGTCCTGATACGGGGGAAGGGATTAATATTGCATTTGGCTTCCGGCCATATCATTGGAAAGCACATGGCGATTCAGCAATCTCCAGAAGTTGGAGAATGAAGCTTGGCATGGCTGCATCTTTCTTGAGAGTAAGTTCTCCTTCCGAGGTTGACTTCCAGCCCGCTCCCCCTAGACGGCAGGTACGAGAACGCTGCACAAAGTCCTCGTCCACTCCGAACCGCTTCCTCGGGAACGAGATCTGGAATGTGTGCGACCAAAGTAACGCAAAGAAGAAAAAGAGACGACAGAAGAAGATAATTTAGCTTTTCAGACAGAGGAAACTTTACAGCAAGTTACCTTTGAAAGTTCCGTTTCCATTCTAGCTTATCCTGGTGCTCTGAGAGCTAGCAGCCGCTTCATTTCAATAGGCAGAATGAAAGGAATATCTTTTTAGTAAAGTATTTGGAGAAAAGGGAAAAACGGCCACATATCCTTCAAAGGGGTAAGTGCAAGTGGCCGTGACTCTTCTAGAGTCATCTCACAAGGAGTCATCTCACAAAGGAAAGGAAGGTGATCTGCTTTGACAAAACAGAACAACACATTGAGAGCCAGTTGTCTGAACCAAGAAATGGAAGCAGCAAGTTTTGTGATGCCCTCTGAGAAAGCCTTTCTCCTGAGAAACTGGAACGAAGGCCTTCATTCCAGAGAGTAGAGAGTGGTATGGACAAAGAGTGCTGGACACAAACCATCATGTTGCCTGCTGATCCTGATATTAGTGATAATTTCCATTTTTAATTTACGGTGCACCAAAGTGTCATTCTCTTACTCCGTATGCAAGCAGTGAAACAAACTGGGAACAGTTTAGGATGCTAGGATCCGCTGAGCCCTGAGCTTTGTGATGATGTGCAGTTGCATAACCAGAGTTAAATTCCGACATTATACTTCTGCATGTTTCCTATGTTTTGCAGTGTCAACAAAGCAGAAATTTGCAAATTCAAGCGAGCATGTAATGGGTGCAGTTGGCAATAGCGGGTACCTACTTGGCTCCATGCTGACTTCCAAATTTTGTTGGCCTCTGTGAACTGGGATTCTCACATAGAAGGTAACACAGTCGGTATCATTCCGGTTCTTGTGCGCGGGAGACCAACTTTCCAATATTCAGCGAAATAGATAGCATCTACGAGGCTAGGACGAGAACTATTTGCTCAGGACTTTGTAACAGGATGGATCAGTGTTGACAGCAATTTCCAAGTGCCAACTCAATCAAGGGGTCATCATCCAGTTTCCGCTTACAGGTGTGTCATCGCTTGTCCCAGTGCTAGATGAAGTACGGAGTTAATGTGTCGAAGTCCACCTCTAACTTGGAAACAGGATCAGACAGAGTCCCAAAGAAGCGGAATATAACCCACGACTGTTTCGTTCTCATTATTGGCTCGTGCCACATTTGGCGATTGAAGTTTATGAACAGCAGGTGTAGCCGGCTCTGACAAGGAAAAAAGGCCATATCCGGTGTTTGAGGTCGGTTGTGTATAGTAGCAGCCGAACTGCGGTGTGCCTACAATAATACAAGACACCAGTTGAGACACTCTTTCTACAGCCATGTCCCTAAGAGGAGTGACTCGAAGTGGGTCGAGGGCTCGAGCCTCGATCAGCATACTCCGTATACGGAGTACAGGCGAACTGACAAATGCAAAGTACTCGGACCTACCACTTCGCTTGCTGAATCAAGCTAATTCATATCTAGGAATTGGAGGCTTAGTTTCCATCCTAGATTGATATCAAATCTAATCATCTAGTGACTCGCTATTCTCAGACTCGAGTCTCAGGGGCTGTTATCAGATCTTCAACAATTTAACTGAATCAAGCCATTCAACCAAGCAGGAGGCTGGAGACTGGAGACTAAGCGGCTAAAAAAAAAAGGAAGGCTTTATTCTCGGTGATACCAGGTAGGAAGATTGAAATCACTTCTTGTCGATTTGTCCCTGATTGAGACAAGGACGACAAGTTAATCTGATAATGACCAATATCAAGGGTAAAAGAGCGCAGACCGTCGTGCTCCAGGGACGCGGAGATACCGGGTTTAAAACTATATTCTCATGCTGCTACGAAGCATGGAGTTCTGTTGGTTGGGAAGTGCTGGTACCTGCAAATTTCTGACCGCCATTGCAGGTCGCGGATCCAGCTGCATGAACTCCAAGGGATCCCATAATATGACTACATATTATCAGGGTAGGCACTTCCTCTTTTTGGATAAAATGGTCTGGGCGGGCTGTGGGGCTGGCACACGGTTCGGGAAGGGTCAAACCAACGTGCGGCGCTTTTTGTCACACCCCTGACTCCTCCGCCCTACCGCTTTAGGCTGTTCGTAAGAAGTCATCCTTCCCCTTTTCGGGCATCTTGGCGCTAACCCCAACATCAGCTTGTCGCAGTTTCATCCAAACTCCTCCTTCTCCAGAAACCGCCCTCCCGTCCTGCTTGCAGATCTTCTTTTCTGGCTGGTCAGACCTGACCCTGTAACGGTTCCACCGTCAAGTTCAGTCGCACCACAATGGCGCTGTCCATCTTTATGCGATCCTCCGCGGCCCGATTTAATTTTAATGCGATATCTCTTGGCACATAAGAACCAAGTCTACGACCCGTCTTCCTGGTCTTCTTTTCTCCATCCTCATCGGTAGAGTTCCTGGGTTTTTTCTTTCTCTTTCCATTCCTAAAAAACAGTGTCTGCTCGTCGCTGTGCGTCCGAGGGATTCCTTTCTTTTTTCGTTTCCAATCTCCCTTGGCAGGCTTTCGTTCTCCTTTGGCAGCTAGAATCACCACGTTGATCGCGGTATTCTGCTGATTTATTTTGGCTTGCAGTCAATTGAACTGTACATTTTACAACCTTCTCATTTACGCTCTCCGCAAGTCGGATTTTCGTTGTCTTTCGTTTGCATTCAGGAACTCCTCTGAATCATTTGACAAGCCTCGATCATCATGTACGTCAAGAAGTTATTGTTTGCCCTTGCCCTCTCGGCCACCGTCTTGGATGGCGCACTGGCTGCCGGCAGAAATGGCAACAACGGCAACAACAAGAATGGAAACAATGGTAACACCAACACCGGCAATAATGGAAACACCGGAAACAATGCCAACAATGCCAATAACGGAAACACCAATACCAACACGGGCAATACTGGAAACACTGGCAACAGCAACAGCGACTTGGCGCTTAACCCCAACCTGGTTCAGACGGGAAGTCAAAATAACGGCCTCAGTGGGACTGGCGCAGAAGCTGGCGAATCTCCCTCTGCAACGTATGTTCCTCCATTCCTGGCAGAATACTGGAAAGAAACCATCTGACAATGATTTGCAGCGACAATGCCAACTTCATCAACTTCTGTCAAGGGAAGACCTTGACCAATGGCCAACAGATCAAGGGAGGATCCTGTAACGGAATTGGTATGCCAGACTCCAGTTTGTGTGAAAGAAACTCTGCTAATAGTGCAAACAGTGATGGGAGATATTCCTTCCACTGAGAACATGATTTCGACGGTGATCTTGAACCCCCAGACGGGCCAAGACCTCCCAGCAAACCAGGACTTCAACGTTACCCTGCAGGTTAACGGCCTGCAGGCAGGCTCCTTCACCAATGCTAATACCACGTATTACGCAGCTCCCCAGGCACTTAACAGCAAGGGTCAAATTATCGGTCACACTCATGTTACGATCCAAAATATCGGGAGTCTCAACCCTTCGACGCCTCCGGACCCAACTACTTTCGCCTTCTTCAAGGGTATCAATGATGCTGGTGATGGAAATGGTGGTTTGAGTGCCGCCGTCACTGGTGGGTTGCCTGCTGGTGTCTACCGGGTCTGCACCATGACTTCTGCCAGCAACCACCAGCCTGTTCTCATGCCTGTAGGTCTCCTGTACGAGTTTTGCCATTGGCGACATTTTTCCGACTAATTCATGCTAGATTGCTCAACGAGGTGCCCAAGACGACTGTACCAAGTTCACCGTCGGTCAGGGTCAGAGCAACAACAACAACAACAACGCAAACAGTGGCACCAGCTCCAACTCGGCTAGCAGTGCAGCTGCTTCCACCAGTGCTCAGGCCAGCTCCGGAAATGGTGGCAACAACTCCAAGTCGGGTAACAATTCCAACTCAAGTGGCAATGGAAACACCTCGAAGCAGAATGGAAACAATGGCAACTCCGGGAACAGGAATGGAGGTAAGAACGGTGGCCGTGGTCGCTTTGTGACGAGACAGTTTGTCGCCTAAATGCGCTGGCCTCTCTGGCCTCCGTGAAGAGCGCATTGGAAGATGTGTCCTGTAAGCTTCTGTATTCTAGAATTGAGTGCGTACCGCAAAGTGTACCGGTTGGGAGGGTTTAGGAGAGGAAAGCGGGATATATTGTTTCATGATCGGGGTTGAGGATATTCATTTTCTTATCTTTTTTTTTCTGTGTCGCAATACTACACAACAATTTCAACTTGAATATAAGGTGCTACCTCATTGTGCTATTCAGATTCGAAATTGACAATCTTTTTTTTCCTTTCTGCCACGTAGTTTACGAAGCACGCAGCATCAGATGTTATCATCGACGTGGGCATAGTAGTTAGTATACACCGCGTTCGGCGAGCCAATAAGAGCCGTCGGACCGAACCCAATATGCAACAGCTATGACGGCAAAAAAGAAGCTCCGCCAAATCTCCGTCTGCTCCACCCTTCAAACATCCACACCCAAGTAAGCTGATAGCACATTGCCTCAGTACGGCATGACAGCTATTTGATTGACTCGCGCCTATTTGAATGGAAGTCGCCGCTTTAAATTAATTCCACCAGACGGAATTTCATACCAGTGACGTCTTATTTATTAAGAACAGCAGGAAGGGCGCTTTCTCAGAAGAAGCTTCGGCTCTCCGTGGCTGAAAATGGCGAAGGCCAAGAAGAAGAGTTTGACGGAGGGGCTGCAATTTGAGAGGAAGAATAAGGATATGTTGAGGTTGCCGAAATGTAATATTACCTTTCTTCGGTATTTTTTTCTTTGTGTGGGCTAGTTGTTTGAACTGACGGTGTTATTATCGATCTAGATGCGCGCATTCACAAACGTCCAATTCCTCACCCTCCTGCCGCCTCTCCTTACGCGGGGGCTTCTGTGCCCAAAATCGTCTACGTCTCGACCAACACGCCGTTCATGAGCGCGGCAAGACGCGTCCAGAAGCTACTCCGACAGGCCGAGAAACGGGCCACGGCTTCCGTCACAGGGAGCAATGGCAACAACAACCAGAAAATGACGGATAAGGAAAGACGGGCTCTGCTGGTGCAGAGCCAGGAGAAACTGGAGCGGGAGAAGGTATATATCAAGGCTACGGGGAGAGCGATCGAAAAGGCGTTGAGTGTCGCTCGCTGGTTCGAGCAGAAAAGCGAAGAGTACGCGGTTCAGGTGAAGACGGGGAGTGTGCTGGTGGTGGATGATATCGTGGAAGACGAGGAGGCGAAAAGGAAGGAATTAGCCAAGGAAAGTCAGACGTCGCAAGAACAGCAGCAGCAGCAGCAGCAGCAGCAGCAACAGCAAGGCGACGAGGATACAGCGATGAATGTGGAAGAAGCCGGACCTAGCACCGATCAACAACCTTCTACTCATCCTCCTGCGGTTGAATCCAAGACGACAACAGAGTCAAGGAACAAGCGAAGACGAAGGCGTAAAAAGGGACAGATAAGTGCGGGCGAAGAACTGCCCGAGTCGCGAACCCGATGGGTCAATATGGTCGAGATTGCTGTGAATCTCAAGTGAAGACGAAGATCTGGATATCTAGCAAAGAAAAAAAAGGACGTATATATCATCATCCGGTAGATCCTATCTACTGGAAACCGAGGAAAGGAGGGTACGCACACTATGCGAAAATACTCTTCCACCGGCGTGGAGCGACAGTACGAGAACGGAGCATACCAGCGCACGGGAGGTCGGCCTTTTGACAACCTTCTTACCGTGTGTTTTCATTTCAGGCTTGGGCTTTCCGCCTAGAGCTTACACATCTCTTACATCTGCCCCTTCATCTAACGCGGTGGAAGGAGCAGAGGAAGCAGAAGAGAACAAACAGATCTGTCCGCCTCGAGCTGGTGTACCCAGTCTGTCACCCATACCGCTCCCGATCAGATCGAGCAAGCTGATGGAACAAAAAACAAAGGATCGCAAAGTGCGCACTTTTTCTTTACTTTTACTACGACCGTTCTCTTTCTCATACGCCGGAAAAGAGATACTCCTGATGTGTTCATCAGGACTGCTGTTACCAATATATCCACTTATCCTTAGAAAGTGTCGATAGATATGATTTAGTCTCCTAGACTTAGAGACATTGGGAGGATGACGATAAAGAACGAGAGAGAGACTTAATGATTAATCAATAAAGGGAAGGAAAAGAAAGTAAAGGAAAAATCCTTGTCACTTGTTAGTTGTCATATTGATAGCTTGCTACTTAATGTTATAATACCCATTTTTTCCCCCAGTCATGTACATACACACACAGTGGCACACAAAGAAAAACAAAAAAAAGGAAGACAAAAAAAAATCGAGACTAGCTTCAGTTCGAGTTCGGTCACAAAAAAAAAGACGAGAAAAAACAGGTGGGGGGCTCGTCAAGCACAGCCTCAATCCGTACCAAGAGGTTTAGGTTAAGAATAGCAGAAACAGGAACAGGAGGAACACGCAAGGGTGAGGAGACAGAAGAATGGAAACAAACCCTCGACATGAATGAGTATGAATGATAATGATGATGAGGCTTGCATCGGATTGAGAATAGACGCCTCGAGATCGCTGAAACAATCGCGCAGTCCGATGAGATGGCATGCCATGCAGCAGTAGGGAGATGTTGAACCCGTTGGGGGTAAAAAAGACAAAGGTTGGACTGGACGAGACGGTTCTCATATTCCAGAAGTTCATGACTGGAATGAGAAACTTGACAGGACAAGAGAGAAGACTATTGCAGACAAGAAAAACAAGGTAGAAAGAAACGAATGCTACAGAAAAAAGGGGAGGACGAAAAAAAAAGAAAAAACACCCAAACCCCAGATAAACCCTGCGTACAAATCCCATGCCCAAGGCAAAAAAAATAAAGAAAACAAAAAAAAAGACACACAAAGGACTAAAAACTAAAGGAGCGGTATGTAAATAAGAGGAACATCCTGCCAGGAATGGCTTCTATCACCGAATTTCCTTCTCTCAATATAACAAACCAGGAGTCGTGAAACCGTCGTCGCGACACTGGTATCGGCAATGACGATGTATGTTCCACAAAGCAAGTTATTTGTCTATCTTCTGCCATCCATTCAGGTAAGCCATCAGACCAACACCAAGAAGAACGACACCAAGCATCGACGCATAAGGAGTAGACTGTTCCAGGAGATGGTGTCTACGCCTTTTCGTCGCAAGTGCTGTTGCCGTGTTCTCAAGTTCCTTGATGTTGGCCGGGTTGACACCATGCTGAGACTGAACAACAGAATCCGATCCATCGGAGGATGTCACCTCTTTCTCTGATGTAGAAGGTTCATGGGAATCCTGCGAAAGATCATCGTTTGATTTCGTAACAGCGGCCTGCGCAGCCTCGCGTTCGCGACGCAAAGTCTCAATCATCTCAGAAAGAGATTTCCGTACTTCGACGGTTTCTTCTTCAGCTTTCTCTGCTCGTTGCTTGAAGATTTCAACCTGCTGTTTCATCTCCGCCAACTCTATCACCATCGAGTCGAGACGCTGCTGCAGTTGCTGGCTATGAGCTTCGAGGAAAGACGTTTTCTCATCCTTCACTTCAGATTGCGCCGTCTCGACAGGTTCTTTGACATCGTTAACTTCAGAGACCTTCTCAGCCTTTGGCTCCTCTGCCACAATCTTGTCTGCTTGATCCACGGGTGGTGGTTCAAAGGCAGCCTCCACTTTGGAGCGCTGTCCATCTTTGGCATCTTTGGCATCTTTGGCAGTGTGCTCCTCGAGTTTCCGGGCTCTCTCCTCCGCACTCTCACGAGCTGAGCGTTCCTGGCGTAAGAGATCTTCCAATTCCTTGACGCGGGCGCCTTGAGCATCTAGTTCCTTCTTTGCAGAAGACAAAGCTTCGATGAGAGATAGAATCTGACTCGATTCGCGTGAGACTGGAGAATTCGCCGTTCCGACCTTCGTCGGCTTTTCTGTGTCAGAGCGCTTCAAAGGAGCATTGGGAGCCTCTTGGCTTTGACGACGCGGTGCATCCGGCTTTTCAGGTAGAGGTTGTTGAGGCGGAGGTGCGGGAGGGTCGGAGAACCGTGAGATGGGATCAACCCGTGGCATCTTAGGCCTCCCATTCACCTGCCGGGAGGGATTATTCTCTGACCCAGATATTTTGCTACTAGGCTTCTCCTTCTCCGAAGTATCTTGCGAAATCAGCGAGTGCAAGAACTCGTCAGTCTGACGGAGATCTTGGGACTGCTGTTTAGCTTGTTTCATCTCACTCTAATTTGCTAGTTAGTAATCCATATTATCGTATATTGCTCCTAAGGAACGTACCGCAAGCCTCTTAACAATTTGTTCAATGGTGATCGGAGCATGCCAGTAGTTCATTTGCCGTTGTTGATGGAGCGCATTCATCTGGTTCCCAGCAGCGCTCTGGGCGCTGCGGTTGCTTGATGAACTGCTTGATCGTCCACGCAGGTGTGAAAGCGGTTGGCTGAGAGGGGAGGGAAGGAGGCCACCGCCAGAAGTGGGATCAATATCTCCGAAATTCAGGTCGAGAATATTTGGGCTTGCCCCGTAGATCCCGGCATATTCGACCTTCGCGGATACCTTATGATGGACGATCGACTTTTGATCCTCACTGACGATATCGATTCCGAGCTCCAACGTGTCGTTTTCGCGTAGCTCGTGAGGTTCCGAGTCACGATTCTCGGGTGAGAGGCGCTGCCCATTGACGAAGGTGCCGTTCGAGGACTTGACGTCTCGAATCCAGATTTTCCCACTTCGGTCCGCCCAAACTTCTGCATGCTGTCTGGAGAGCACCTTCGAGTCAAAATACCCATTCACTGGCGTTGGGACAGTCTTCGCATTCGTCTGTCGGCCAATCCGTAAGACTTCGGGGAAATAAGGAACCGTGATCTGTTTCTTCTCAAAGGTACCGTTGAGCGGGACTAGAGTGAGAATGGCGGGTGGATCGTTAGATGGAATGCCACCACCGGAACGAATACAATTCTGCTGAGCGGACTGGCCCATATGAGACGGGACTATAGGCGAGGGTTGATGAATGGCAGACATGGCCGACGAGGCCGTAGGCCCTCCTGAGGATGACGTTGATGCTGACACAGCCTGGGAGCGAGCATTCGTTACACCAGAGACTGGCTCTGATTTCGAGCTGGGCCACAGACCCCGACCAGGCTTTTTCTTCGAGGACCAAGTAGTCGAATCGCCGTTGGCGCTCTGTCCAGCATTACTGTGGTGCGAAACAGTAGACGTGAACGATGTCGACGTAGATGACGCCAACGAGGAAGAAGAATTCGATCTCTGGACACCTTTTCGTGGCATGAACATTCGGGACACGTCATCCGCGTTCATTGAAGTCAGCGCCGCTTGTCCTCCTTTACCAGCAGCATACCATCCTAGACGAGGCCCCGATTGCACGCTAGGCGGAGAAGCGACCGCAGTCATGAGGAGACAGGTTCTGGTAGGTGAGGATTCTGAAGGTCAGGGAGTTCTGCCGCGCGGCTGCAGAACAGGGGGGGGCCGGTCGATGGCCAGGGGGAAAAAAAGTTATAGCGCCGAAATTGAGAAGGCGCAGCGATCTGAACAGTCTCCAGTCACCATATGGTTCTCGAGGAATCTGCGTCGAAGGGGGCGATGCACTATCCGGCGTTGCAGATAGAAGACCTGATAGATGTTGCTTAGTTAGCGTTTTGCGACGGCTGACCACGCAAATTGTCAGACAGGGGAGATGGGATCCCACGGGCTTGATGGAAACCCGAATAGGCTGCTTGAGCTCACCTTCTCAGTTTGAATCTGGTGCGGAGTTTTCCTCACGCGCTGACATGTATGTAGTTGACAAGGGACTTTTCCCGCAAGCCCTTTGCCGCCCGCAGCAGACGGACGACCCTTCTAGGGAGAGGCAACACGAGCCAGACGGCCGGTTGCCAAACACGTCTTGGACCAACTTCAGAGATCGATAAAGGATGCGTGAAGGAATGTTTACTGGATGAGATACTCAGCAGATAACAAGATCGGGATCCATGGGCTGGTTGGACCGACACAGCAGGAGAAGGGACAGGTTACTGTCACAGTCACCGTCACCTTTGCTCACGCCGCTCTCTTCCCGTCACAGCGCCCGCCTCAGGACACCATGGCACGTGACCAGGTAAGCGAGTCGCGGGCACGTGTCTGGGGCCCCTTCGCGCTCTGAGGGATTCCTGGAATGGACTAGCGTCATGACCGTCCTTCCGCTGCACTACGGGAGGCGAGACGTGCCAGATGTGCTTCCCGGCAGCTGCACCAAATACGTAGTTGGTTAGCAAGTGAGGTCAACGGCATGCTTTCGGCTTCTCTCGCTCCAGCGCCTAGCCCATTGATTTGCAGCTCTTGATCGAGACCTCGCATTACACTGCGGGTGCGCTTTCTTCCTTCTCAACGAGGATCTGCAGTTGGGACCAACTGCGAATCATTCAAAATGCCCGTCGTCGCAGCTCCAGCAGGGCATGGCCCTTCGATGTTTGACAAGAGTAAGTCTCACCTGCTCTCTTATAGTATACGGGATTCAGGGTATTTTCAAGATACTAACTAACTACTACCAACAGTGAAAATGGGTGCTTTGATGGGAGGAAGTAGGTTCTCAGATCTCTTTCTACATGCACGATACAGAACGTACTGACTGGTCAATTTCTTTCTCTTGCTAGCTGTGGGTATGATTATGGGCTTTATCATTGGTATGTTAGCATAACAGGTTCAATTCCCATCAGGATTGGCATATGCTGACGATTGATTGCGCCAGGCACTGTCACAATTTTCCAGTATGGTGCTGGGCCAAACGGTGTCATGCGTACACTGGGCAAGTACATGCTTGGATCGGGCGCCACTTTTGGGTATGGACTATTTCATTATAAATCCTTTTGCACTGATTGTCTTTACTTCTAGACTAACTGCAACTTCATTGAAACAGTCTGTTCATGTCCATCGGCAGTGTCATCCGAACGGAGGGCCCTTACCACGAAGCCTGGCGTCGCGTTCACGGAACTCCCATGATGCTCCCGAGAGAATATCCGGCGCGTCGGTAAAGTGAAAAATAGGCAACATATCTCGAAATCCTCGGAAGTCATGATGGGTCCAAGATAGGCATCTCTGTATACTATTATTCGGTCGGTCCAGGGGGGAGGTTTTTGTCAGGCACCATCTCCCAAACGTGAGCCAATTTAAATTTTTTAATTACGACGAAGCCGGTGGAGGATTGGATGCAACTGGGCAGGTAGGAAGATTTGAAATGTATTGTACATAGTTTCAAATGGTCTCACTAAGCTCAAAGGAAGAGTCAAACGGAACATCTTCCAATGTCATGTCTCGACACGATTTCAGTTGATCATTGTTTGATTTCTTATGTCCTGCTCTGAGGAACTATCATTATGGGAAACTACTCGTCGAGGGTCAAAACAGTCGACATTTCGCAGACCCATGATCCTGCCTTGGAGACCAGCCCAAGCAATCATTATCATGCTCTCTGTACCAGAATATCGGAATTTCTAGCTTTCTTCCTTTGTAGTTTAAGTCGATGAGTAATATGGACCTCTACTTCTTCCACATCTCAGAGAAAAGAGGAAAGTAATCAAAATATTCTTTTACAGTTTGTCTTCCATTTACTATCGACAGAACTTGATGGTACCAACCCTATACAAAGTCAGGTGCATCCACTAGTTTCGTTCTCTTCGCATCACATGCTTGCTGGATAGCGCAGTTTGCTATCCGCTAGTATCCTCTCCAGGAAACCCCTCATTGTACTTCAAGAAATCATTCAGTAAATGCCATCCTCTATGCTTGAAGTCCTGTTACACAAACAGGCTGCATTACAGCTAGGACCTCTTCATCCTATCACTTGGTCATGTGAGGACATAGTATGTGATGTCTGAATTAATATTGAGGGAGGACGTGTCATTTTAACTCATCACTCTAAGTTGCCATCATGTCGCATTCACTTCAGTAATATTGAAATAAAATGAATTGAAAATAATCTGGGCACAGCAAGGAGGCTCAAGTCTCAGCCCACCTTAGCTCACACCAGATCAACGGCATGACAGGAAATAATGAAGCAATGGCTACCCAAAACTTTATATAATTGCAAGGATAGGGGAAACCAAACAGAAGATAGCATAGCATTGATAGGATAAGAGCAGTGACTTGAAAAAAGAAAAAGGTCATGTCAGCATAAACTTAGATTATTTAAGATCCAATAATAATGACTATTTAAACAGATGCCATTTAGCTCTATTTCACATGGGGTTGGTTCACTGTTTCTTTAAGTCCCTACTCTACTGTGCCCAACCATTCACCAGGGAAGCCAACAGGAATGAAACTTAATCTCTCACTTGCACCTTCACTTCTACACATGTTGAGCCTAAACTGCTTTCATAAAGATTCTGCACATTGTGCAACAGAGGGGGCTGAGGGAGAGCTGAAACTAGTGTGAAGGATCTAGCGCCGCATAAGCAGATCTTGTCTCAAATACTGTCGCAATGGCCCTACACTTCTAAAAAAATTCAACCAGAGACGTCTCATGAGATGGATAGAGGATGCAGTAGTTTTGTAGTTTCTTACTCCTTAAACTAGATGATTATTAGTGCGCACAAGTCTTACAAGTCTTGCTTCGCTCGACTGGTCTGAAGAGAAAAATACCTCAGGTGTGCTATATCAGGGACTTTTGGCCCCCAGGCTCACCTACTAAATATATATTCAGTAGCTTTTAGGATTTTCATTCCACGTGGGCTTCCTACCCATAGTCTTTGCCATACTAGTAATTCTTGTCATTCATAACTAACCCCTAGTAATAATATTTCACACCCTCACTGAGTAGATAAATGACAGAGGGAGGCGCGGATACCAGCACCCAACATGTGATGTGATTCGAAGTTGAATTACTCGATCGCTTAATAACAACAGTTACTCAAGTACTTCATACCTGTCTAGAACTCTAGATACGAGCGCGCGAACTTCTGACATGCATAGCCGTAGGCGTGAATGTTAATGCCTGACGAAAGCCGAGGCCCGGTATGTGGAGACGGAAAAGGTTTTGCACCTAGCTGCAACTGGTGCCAGCACACACCGTCGCTGACAAAAAAGAATTAATTTTTTTTCCTGCTTACCATGGTTACACGATCAAAAACAAGGCAAAAATTGTTCTTCCCATCTGGTTTGTTCCTGAATTTTTAAATGTCGCCCATACGTAACACATGCTGCTTACTTATTCCATACCAGGAACTCCGTTGTCCCTGACACTCCCATAGGCTAATACTGATAACTCTGCATCGTTCATTTCTTTCGTAAGTGGCTCACCAGGAGTAATCGGCTAGAGGTGGGCAATCTGGGGGATAGGAATATTACTCAGTCTACCGGGACTGCCAAACGGGCCAGGGTCATCTCGACCAATGACAGGGCCTCCAAGACCTGGCCACTCCTACCATGGATCTGGGGGAACCGGGCGGTGGATCAGATCGGATGCGAGTACTCGGGTGAGCAGCAGGTCATTCTGGCGGAAAATAATTCCATGGCATTTTTTTTTTCCTTGCCTCGTAGGCTCGTAGGCCATCGTTCCTCCCCCTGGAGATGCTACGGATCGCATTTGCAGCGAGTTTTGCATGCAAGGTGCAGCGATCAGACTGGCGCTAACAAAATGACGCCTCAGCTTTATCGGACTATCGATAGCTAATAGTTGGCACCGGGGGACGGATGACTTGGCGCTCGCATCCAGGAACGCGCGCTGTTGGTGCCGCGCTACCTGAGCTAAATCCCGACAGCATCCAACGAAATTCGGTTCCTCACGGGTCCGGTGCCTGCCGTACAGAGTATACCTCCAGGTAGTACGGAGAAGCGAACGAAAAAAAAAATCAAAAAAGGGAAGCTGCTCGCCATGTCCACTTGCCTTACCCTACGGGACCCTCGCCAGCGAGTCGCCACTTAGCCTAGGTTGGTATCCAGGTGCCGCCTGCCCCAGGGGTTTGCGGCAAATCACGCGGGTGTTGTCGCATGAGGAAATTATCATTACAGCACATCCATCCTTGACACGTCCAGTTTGCAACCACCAACCAGGGAGTCCGGGACAGTAATTCGCGCCGGTCAGCGAAGTAAAAGCCGAGCTGGCCGCTAAAAGTAAGATGACGGGCCTGTTGGCGCCTAGGGAAACGGCTCCTCGCCCCGTAGTCCGTAGTCTGGAGATGGCGAGTCATCTGACACCACGGTTGTCGCCATGGATGAAGCCAGGGCTGGTTGTCGCCAGAGAGCCAATCGAGGCAGACCAAGGGGCAAAAAACTCACCCCACCCATCTGTTCCCACGCCATGTGTTGTCCTGGTGCTAGTCGAAAAGAGAGATGCTGCAGGTGCCAGAATGGTACCCGACACGTCGCTTGCCGAGCTCTGTCAGCCCTGCGACTCACCGCGCTCTTTTATTCCCATGCTCCCTCTTCAGTTCTGATTCCCACCGACCTCCCTGCCAACCTCTGGCCCTGTCGTTCCTTCTGTCCATTGTCGAGCAGTGCTCCCTCCACGCTCCTTACATCGCTGACCAACTTGCGACGCTCGTTTCTGCGCTTCCATCGCCGACTCCTTTCCAGTCTGTTGCCGGCCTAAGCCTGTGGTTTTGTCTGGCACCTTGCTGTCATCTATATTGCATTGTCGCAAAAGCCTCCAGCAAGCGCGCGTATACGGACACCCAGCCTTATCAAGGCTTTTCGCTCCTTTGCCTCTCTTTGTCATCTTCGCCAGGCAGCACAGCACCCTGCCGTCGTTATCCCACAGGCGTCTATTGTCGCGTGGGAATACTTGAACAGAGCTTTCTCTCCCTGGAACACCACGCTTGTCGCGTAAGCAATCGATTTCAGCCTCAGCAAAGATGAAGTTCGGTGCAGTAATTGCCGCACTCTTCTTCCTCGCTGCGCCTGAGCTGGTCGCCGGTCAGGATCAGACCACTCAGACCACTCAGACCATCACCTCCACGGCGACAATCACCAGGACCGTGGTTCGTGCCACGACCACGACTCCTTCTCCGTCTGTGACGCCTAGTAGCTCATTTGCAGTCTCGCCTTCGTCGACCCCTTCGACCCCTTCGTCGACCCCTGCGACGAGGACCTCGTCGACTCCAATTCCGGCAGCTGCAACTCCCTCCCAGACCGGCGGCGCCATGACTCTGGGAGCTGGCAGCATTTCCGCAGCGCTTGCGGCTGGATCCTTTGCTCTCGTCTTGGGCTCGATGGTCTAGTTTTGCCAGAATCCATCGCACGAATCCAGCAGGGTCTGCCCTGGGCTTGAATTGATTCCGATTGACTTGGAATCAATCTGCATGACAAGTGTCCTTTGGAAACACCTGGCCTGGATTGTATCTGCCCCTGATTTCCGCCAATATTGACGAAATCACCTCTTTTTTTTTGGTGTCTCCTGGAGAGTTGGTAGCTGGTTTACTTTGGATATTGTTTTTACCTTTTATCGCCTTTTTGGATTAGCAGGAGACATCAGACGTGAGTGAGGGTGCATTGGGACGTTACGCTTCTTGGAATACCCCCTTTTTTTTTGTTTCTTGCTGCTTGTTTACTATGATTCGTTTTTGGATCGTTACGAGTCCATGCTTGTTTTGTTTCTCAGCCTGCGGCTGCAACTCTTTGAACACGCCCAGTCGATCGACACCGAAACCGGTCTAGACTGACTTTGGGTGCATGAGCAACACGAAACGAACAAAACGGAAAGCTTGGGCGTTTGGGAATGAAGGGAATTTTGGATTTTTCTGTTTAGTTTTCTAGACCTTCATCCCAGGTTTGGTGTTTTGAGTGGTAGTGGTTGGGGTTGCCCCTTTTTTTCTTCTCCTTTATCCTGGGCAACCCATGATTGGGGAGTTTCATTCAGATTATTCAAATACATAATTCGAAATTTTGCCCTTTTTCTGTAGCGATGAGTGCGAAAAAAAATTTAGGTGTAACTTGGGCAATTGGGAAGGATGAAGCGTCACACGACGACGGACTAGGTTGCATGTCGTTGAAATTGAATCAGCAGGATCGTCCCTGCGCCGTTGGTCCGATGGCGATGGCACGGTCGATCTGGAGCTTGACCGTCCGCTGGCTGCCATTGTGTTGTGTCGCCAGAACAACGTCGTGCAGAGAGCTCCAACATTTTGCAAGCTAGAAAATCGCTATGATCTTGCTAATTAATTCTTGCAGGCCCATTCATCTCATCTTTCAGTGCTCGAATTTGATCAGCAGGGGCTTTCAGGGATGGATCATGGGCCTGGATGACGTTATCAGGCGCTGATTATCGCTCGCGCCGCTGATTGGCTAAATCGCGTCCCAACGCGTTGTGCCACATGAGGTAAACAGTCAAGCGACTCGATTCTCTCGGACACTGGGACATCCGCCATTGTATTGTCTGGGTTCAGGCGGGCTGTGACGCCTTCTGTCACGATATGCGCCCTGGCCACAGCGTCCACTGAATCCTGTAAGTGTGCCATGTCTGTTTCTCTACCTTATATATGAGATTAAGCTCGGCTACTGTTCCCTCATGTTCGTGGCCCACGCGTGCAGCGACTGCAGCGTGACTCTTTAACTCCGGGGAAACCTTCAATTGAGCTGTTTCTTTGAAGATTAACTGACCTCTAGCCAGTTACCATGGATAACGAAATCCCTCTTCCTCCGCCCCCGCGGATTCGCCATCGGTCACCGGCCACCGCGTCGGGCAATGTGGCCGCGTCAAGTTCTCCTTTTCAGAAGCCTCAGCGCCCTTCGCGGTCTCGGTTCGATGACGTCTCCAGTATACCGTCGAGTGATCCAGCTTTCTTTTCCAGCGATGATATCCCCTCCTCGTCTGTGGACAACTATCATGGGTCTGGCCAGCCCGAGAAGTCTAAGAAGCGGCGGTACCGCGGAACATGGTGGGGTGAGATGGCAGTGGAAGCGAAGAGGAAGAGGGGCGATTTCAAGGAAAAGCGCAACTGGGACAGTGGTGTTTGGATGGGGAGTGATGAGTCTTCTTCCGAATACTTGCTTTCCTCGGAGGATGCGTCTTCATGTGAGGACTATCCGAAAAATGCAGGCGACTGGGATACACGGGGACAGGTGACGACAGCAGTTCCGCATCCTAAAGTTGCTTGCACAGCCATTGATAGGTGTGCTCAGCCAAGCAACGGACCGACTTTCCAGGCTCGTGCCGTTCGGGCAGTGGAGGAGCCAAAGGAGCATCAGGCCGCTCGAGCTCTGGTAAATGAATACCTGGATAAGGGCCAGGACAGCGTGGACCTCAGGTGGGTTCCTTGATTCAAAATGCTTCTGTTTTTTTTTCTTCTGACTAACTACGGACGACTACGTCCAGCAACGGTAATCTAAGAACGATCCCCCCTGGCTTGCTTCGACCGTTGCTGCATTTGACGAAGCAACCCGCTGTGAAAGCTCCTCCAGTGACTGACGAGGTCTATACCTCGTTGACACCTTTTCTCCGGCTGTTTTTGTCCGGAAACTCCCTGACAGATCTCCCGTCGGAGCTGTTCGAGCTTGGGAACCTGAAGGTTCTGAGCTTACGAAACAATAAGCTTCGGGAAATCCCAGCGGCCATACGGAAGTTGACGAAGCTACAGGAGATTAACGTCTCTGTCAATCGGCTACAGTATTTGCCTTGGGAGATATTGTGGCTGATTAAGAAGGGTGACCTGAAACATTTGATCGTTCATCCGAATCCATTCCTCCAGTTGGAAGAAGCTCGCGATGATATCGAGGAATGGCACTATGGTCCGAAAGCCCCTGGAGAGGTGTTACGAGCGCCCGAGTATGAGGGACCTGCCCCTGAAGAAGCGTGGGCACCTATCCATGTTGCCACCAGTCGTGTTCAACGTCTTGACAGCGAAGGGTTCCCTGTCGCGGATGGAAAGAGTCGCGGGGGTTTTCAAGGCCAGTCGACTGAAGAAGCGCCATCCCGCGTGCCGTCTTTGCGTGAACTGGCCCTTTTGGAATGTAACAGATTTCCGTATCTGGACCAATTCCTCGATGGGGATCTGTCTGGATATCCTGAACTTGTGACGCGTCTGCTGCGGCAAGCGAGGGAGGTTCGGAACGCGGGTGGCCGATGCTGTTCGATCTGCCATCGCAGTTTTGTGATCGCCCGTGCTCAGTGGATCGAATGGTGGGATTGCACCACCTATGAAAGCGGACTCAAGGGTCCACGAGCACCGGGTGCAGAACTTCGGCCGTTACCTTTCCTGCGACGAGGCTGCAGCTGGGCGTGCGTTCCTGGAAGCACCCCGGACACCTTGCAGGGCGGAGATGGTCAAACTGTCGACGGTAGATCATCGTCCTAGATGATCTTTGCTTCATGCAGGTCTGCTCTTTGCAGTTCCTATTCTGAGCTATAGTGTGTGGGTGATGTTATATCTCTTCGTGTACATCCTAGCATCTCGTGTTGATGTACTGCATCGATACGTTTGTCCTTGTTCCACTCTGCCAGCAGTGGTCAGGGTTGTAACTTAGATATTGGATATTTGTATAGAATTCCACCATGTGAGTCTATGGTGAGAGAATACATACTAGTTACCTAAATGTTTATATTCGCTGAGTCAGCATCCTGTTTTCTTTTCTTTCGTTGGCTGCATCCACCCCAGTTCCCCAGATTTTCACCCCACATCGCCCTCCGCCCGTAGCCGTACTTGGTAGATCAATCATGTCCGTTGACTTTCGACTCCGCCATCGAAATGAGGGGAAAGCTCCATAGTCACGTCCATGCAGTAAGGTCTTCCAGCCAATCGACAACCTCCGATCGGTTATGTATTCTACAGTCTACGGGGGGAGCTCCACCCCTTTCCCCTCAAAAACCCCCCAAAACTCCAAATAAACCCCTCTCTGTCAAATGAGTACGAAGTACGTAGGTTATATAACGTAAGTACATGTATGTAATATGTAACATTCTCCAATTCTCCTCGCCCGATCGGATATGTATGTATGTACAGTACATACCTACGCAACCCCTCTTCTCTTCCTCGGTCTCGGTATCTGTCTCGGGTTGTAAGTTGTAATTAAATAGTGATGAACTCATCGCGCATGGGATGTGTTATACATACTTATCAATTGTGACGTTTGTTTAGGGAATGGAACTCCGCATCCGAATATTCTCCGTTTGCCTCCACCATCTCCAGCTCCAGCGCCAGCACCAGTGGATGAATCGAATGAATGAATGAATGAATGAATGCGTTATTGGATACGTCCACGCCCGAGAATCCTTTCCCATCCCATCCCCCGCAGCACCTCAGGGTAGCCCAGCCCAGCTGAGCCCCGCACCGCAGATGGATACATGCTCTTGACCAGGGGGCTGTTGCTCGGAGGACTGGAATCCTCTCTCTCTCTCTCTCCCCCCCTCCCCTCTCCTTTCCTGACTTCTCCTTTCCTATTCTCTGCTCTTCTCTTCTCTTCTATTCCCTTGGAATTACGAAGAAACCCGCTGGACTGAGGTAGATGTTGATTTGATCTGATCTGATTGGATTGTCGACATCGGAAGAAAGAACGATATTCTCAGCAGAAATCTATTCTGTTCATCCCGAGTTGATACTGAATTGTCCTGCGTATATATATTCCTTGTTAAAGCTTAACCATGGCTACCGCAGTAAGCTCTGCTACTCCTCCGGCAGAGCTTCATCGACAGGAACCTGCTCCTGCTCCTGCTGCCCCCAGCCAAGATGGCAACGAACAGCTCCCCACCGCAGCCCAGATCCTCCTGCAGAACTTCACCCTGCCTGAGTTCCCCAAGAAGGCGTCCGGCTTGCAAGCGCTGACCCTCACGTCGGACATCAAACCGACCGAGTATGCCGATCTCCTGAACCCAACCGCATCAGTAGCAGCATCGTCAGATTCGAATTCGAATTCGAATTCGTCACTTCCCAAGGGAATCGAGGCTCTGACCCTCGAGCTCTTCTCTCTCGGCTACCCGCCTTTCTTCCTGACCAAGTTGAGCAAGGCCCTTCCGAAACTGAAGACCCTGACGCTGTACAGCCAGCTCGTGGACGGCGTCAGCGACGGCTCACGCAGGGACGCGGGCGAGTTCTTCAACAACGTGCTCGTGGGGAAGAAAGAGAATGGCCGCGGGCTGAGAGAGCTGCATCTGCTAGACACCTTTAGCCGCAAGGGCTTCATCTCGGGACTGGGTGGGATCCTGGAGGATCTTAATGCGACTGGCAAGGGCGTCCTGCGCTTCCTCGAGGTGTCCTACACCTACCGCGGCCACTCGGATTCGAATTTCCTGGACCGCATCCCCGGCGACGAGCTGCCCACGATGCTGGTTCCGTCCCTCATAGCGGCGTCGTTCAGTCTGGCTGCGCCGGTCTCGAGGAATACGAACGCCCCAGCCGAGTTGCCTGACGATCCGGCGGATGTCGATGAGAATGGAAACCCGATCCCCGGACGGAAGCCGGAGGGAGTCATTCCTCTGGCCAACTCGAACCCCGGTGTTGCCATCCTGATGAAGAAACTCACCGGCGAGGAGACAGAAGAGACAAAGGTCACCACCAAAGATGATAAGAAATCAGAGAACGGGAAGAAAGAAGACGATGACAAAAAGATGATGAACAACAACAACCGGCGTATCGCCCGGGCTCCGGCCCAGGACCACGAAACCTCAGGATGCTCGACGCGACCGTCTACTCGCTCTCCACGGACCAGCTGGCGAGTATCGTCCGATCGCAGCAGGGGCTGGCCGTGTTGAGTGCCAGCGTCCTGGTAAGCGGAACTGAGCCAGCGACGTCCAAGGCCAGTCTTCTGGAGGCGCTCCGCGGAGGGAAAGACGGCAGCAGTGGGATGGAGTTGGAGATTGTCGAGATAGTGGGTGTTCCCGAAGGGGGATTTGATCAAGAGGTAAGTGAGCGAACAGTTGAGCTTCTGTCTTTTGCATTGTACATACATTTACTGATTGATTCTTTCCTGAATATGTAGTCCTCTGAATCTGCCGACAACAAGGATGAACTGCTCCACAAAGTCTTCCCAACCGAATCCGACATGGCCGATCTCTCCGCCCATCTGCCTCGGCTGGAATCATTCAAGATGACCATCCTGCGGGCGCAGAGCTTCGGCGCTGTGGAATGGACCCGGTCTGCAGACGGGAAATGGACTGGGGGAGTGACAAAGAGCAGTCAGTGAGCTGCGATTTGTTTTGTTTCGGTTTGTGTCTATCGTAATTATTCATATATACGAAAAGGAAAATGTTATATGACTGCCAGAGCAAGAGAGGAAAATAAGAATAATACTTATGCTAGCTTTCCGTTTGGGATAGGACAGCAATCACATCAAAACGTACAGACAAAGCAAAACCAGCCAGGCAAACTTATTCCGCTTTCCCATCCTGCTTGCGGAAGTTATCAGATGCCGTCGACATTCTCTTCTCAATATCAGCCGCCCACAACGCTGCGCCCACTGTATTCGTATACGCAAGCGCCAACGACGCGAAAGGCACCATTTCAAGTATAAACGCGGCGACGCCAAAACTGCATTATAAAAAATCATTAGATATATTCTGCATAAAGTATATGACACTTCGATAATAAAAACTCACCTCGTATACGCCGCCCGATTCCTTTCCACCCATTCATCCCTCTGTCTGGCATTCCAGCCTTTCAGCTGAAAGTACCGTTCGTGAGCGATCGGCCCGATCCTCTTCCCTTGGAAGACAATGTAGGCAATCGTCCCGACGACGGGGATGAAGTTGAGCGGGAGGTAGAGCAGCGAGCGCAAGAGGGCGTGGGGGGACAGCTTGGTGAATGGGCGTTTGAGCAGCTTGCCCAGACGGGCAATAGGGTCGTCGCCTTTTTTGCCGCTTGTCGACAACTGCCGGCCGTCGGCGACGAGGGCTTCATGGCCTCTGGCGATGAGCGTGCCGTCGAACGTGTCGACCAGCGACACGTCTTGAAGTGAAAAAGACCGCGATAGCGCGTTGAGGATCGTCGAGCTCTCGCTTAGCACCAGCAGCGCGGCAGAGATAGGCGCCATCGGCCCGCTTGTAAACGCCAGCACCGCTGCTTGCGGTACGTACGTGAAGAAGAACATGGCGGACGTCACGCTCAGACCGAGACTCAAGGTAGGACCGATCCGGGAGAGGAGAGGCTGCCAGAGACTGCGGTGGGAGAGGAAATAGACGATTCCCTAGGAGATATATAGTATAAAATTCAGCAGAGCAGTTCTAGCAGCTACATGAAATATCATCTGTATCCGTGCCATGATCAATCTTGCCTGCTTACCTTGAATGGATAGAGATACGCTCCCGATCTGGCTGCTTCAGCTGTCAAGTCTCTGATGTGCATTGCTTCTGCCACCGCAGCGGCTTTTACCTTGTCTGCCATTTTCGTAACTATAACTACTACTGGCGTCTATGATCTGAGGAACAATAACAAAAGAAGAAGAAGGGCGCAATGTTGAAGAGCTGGAGGACGATACTACTACTGTATACTCCGCTACATGTCTGCTGCATGCCTAATTCGGCGACGATGACGTCGTACCACCGCCTCGGCATCTAGTCAACCAATCACAATCTCCAACGACGACTACGGTGCATACACTTAGTTCAATTCAGGGAATTCTGCAGTAACATATTTCATGCAGACGTCTACTGACAACGACAGTCGAAAGGAGCAACAAGAATCCTTCGTGATGGGCGCAACATAAGATATGCAAGACCCAAGGTTGTAACTGATGAGAGGGGAACGTTCAAGCAATGGTATCGACTGACGGGTCACATAATCCTCGCACAAAGACAAAGGAGGCAGACAAGAATGACATGCCGCTACATCCTAGCGCTCATTCGACTTTTCGCCAGCACACCTAATATACCCGCCAACGCCTGGCCATTTCCGTGCACAACGTAGAGAGACAAAACGATCGCTAGTGAATTAAATACAGTTTGGATAACACGCTCATGTGCGGGGAGCGTATAAAAAAAAGCATCGCGAGGAAAGGAGAATCGCAAGTCTATCGGTTCCTATCGGTACGAGCTTGATGCCAGATTGTATCACCGCTGAGGGCAGAGAAGCTCAGGGATGCAAAGTTCCGCCAGCTCGATTGCGGCGCGGAAGCATTGCCAGAAAGGAGAGGAGAACCTGGGCCTTCGCCGTGTTCCAGACTCGAGTCATCTCCCAAGCCCCCCGTTATCGGAACGGCAGCAGAATGTGAGTCACTGCGACCATCAAAACCGCGGGACTGCGTGTCGTCCGCAGTCTGTTCGTTTTGGGCGCGGGAGTCCATGGCGCCCGAGTCTCTCTGAGACAGGGATCGCACAACGTCTCCTTTGCATATCGGGCAAGTCCGTCGACGCGTCGTCAACCAGGGAGTGCTTCATCAATTGTTAGCTCTGACAGCCATACGGTTAAAAGGGAAAGAAGAAAACTTACATGCACTCTGCGTGAAACTCGTGGCCACACGGGAGGCTCATCACTCTGCTCTGTCCATCAATGTACTCTTCCAGGCAGACAACACACTCGACTTGTCTCCCAGTATACTTGCGCCGCCACAAACTAGAGCCAGAGCCTTGCTTCTCTCCGGTAGAAGACGTAGCTTCCCTCGTCACCTCCGTCGAGTTCACAGCTCCTGAGATAGTCTGAGAGCGCGGCCGAGCCCGCCCGGAGGCGCTCTGGGATCTGGAACCAAGCAATGGTGATGTGGAAGTAGCACCGGGACTTGGTGACCGAGGAGTGCTCGATGCTGTCGACGACTGGGATGGAATGGTGTGATAGGTCCTCACGGGAAGTCGATCAACGACCGATTTCGGCGCCCGCCATCGTCGTCGGCGGATACGAGACCGGAGAAGTAGCAGTCCGTAAACAACTGTCAGCGTGATCAATGGACTCACTACCAATACGAGCAGTGTGTCAAAGAACGGACTGGTCGACATGCTGGTCGGCGTCAACGTGACCCAGAGACCCTCATGTCCTTCAAAATCTGGGTCTCCTTCTCCAGGTGATTGCTCGGCAGAGCTAGAAATCTGGGAGATCTTTCCACCTTTGCTACCTTGCCGGCTGCCTGGCGTTGTGGCAGATCTTTCAGATTCAGAATCGCTATTCTGAGCCCAGTGGAAGTGTCTAGAAAACCAGCTCTCTTCTTCCACCTGCGAGCTCCCAAACTTTGGATTAGCCGCTGCATTGCTCGGACCTTGATTGTCGCTTTTGCTGAGGTCAGTGGACTTGTCAGGACGCACGTATTCACCGCTCCCGGGGGTGATGCTGCCACCCTTGAGGCGAGAGCTGGACTGCGTCTTCTTGTCTCCGTCGCGACTGTTATCCCCCTGGGTTTTGGAATCCGCCTTTCCGGGACCAGAGCTAGGCTTCGGCAGTGAAGAACTCTTTGGAGGTACAAGATCCGGATCCCGCCAGTCTTGCACTCCAATCTCAAAGCCGTCTCCATCGAAGTTAGATGGCTTGTTCCCTGATTTCTTCGGCCCGTTCAGCTGGGGACGGCCCTTTTTGCTTCCATCCTTGGTGTCAGCTGATGCCTTAACTTTGCCGGAAGTTTCATCCTCATCCCAGTCGTCAACCAAAACCCAGTCGATGCTGCCACTGCTTGGTGGCCGGCGGCTATCCTCAGGTAGGTGCCAGGGGTACCCATTGTCACTCCCCAGCCCAACAAAAGACAATAGGGTATGTAGAAATCCGGAACCTCTACCACCAGAGGTTTCACCCAGAGCCCCATCTTGTTTGGAAGTGCGGTGAGATGTCGGAGTGGAGGTGGCCTTGGTCGTAGGACTCGAACCGGACTCCCTGTTTGCCTTTGTTCGAGGGGCTCTTGCCAATGCTTTCACCATAACCAATCTTAAGAGCATTGTTTGACTTTTTCTTTTCACGTGGCGGTACAAGCGATGACAAAAGATGCGCTGTAGTATAGGAAGTGAAAACAGAAGGGATCGTAATGTTTGAAGTATCGCCTCGAGCGTACATCGTAACCAGACTCCCTCCCTTCGTGTCATCGCCAACGATCAGGGCCACTCCGCCGCGTCGCTGGACCCATTTGGCCTTCTCTAAAAAGCCACACCCGCCTCTGCTCAGCAATACAACCTTGCCCGCGATCTCCGCACTTTCTTGCAGAGACTGGATATCCGCGTGTGTTGCAGGTTGACCCTTCTCGCCCGAACCGTCGGAATTGCTAGGGCCAGGAAAGCTTGACCCCGTGAGAGGGTGGTGCAAATGGTCGTCCGTCCCGTCATCAGCAGATGGGGGATTCTCAAGGCTGCCATCTTTAGGCCCAGCTGACTCGGTGGCAGGGTCGTTCCTGCGGCTGAGCGAGGGGCCGTCGTCACTGGAAGGGTCGGTGGCAGATTGAGAATTGGATTTCTTCTTTTCCGTTTCCTTTGCCGCCTTGTCTTGCTTCAGCTGGCCATCTTTCTCTCCCCAGCCTGGGACATCCGAGCAACCGAGCTCTCCCGCAGAGCCAGCGGTAGCGCCTCCGTTCCGGAGGGTGTCATCGCCAAACCCGCTTCCTACCCAAAGCTGGCCGCTGAGTCCCTTGGCTGGTAACAACGGGCCAAACGCTGCAGGTCTGGCCAAGAAGAAGGTGGAGTTGTCATCGGTCAGACTGATGATGGCGGATGGGGGGAAAAGAGAGGCAGGAGCGTTGAAAGAGAAGAGGGCGCGCAACCGGCTCGTTCGACCAGCGAGAGGAGCGTTGGCATCGGCGCCACGATGAGGTTCTGCGGTGAGAAGAGAGAGGAAGGTAAGGAGGATCGGGAGGAAGATGAAGCAGAATAGGAGAAGTAAAAGGCGCGGTGGCCGCATTTTGGGGAACAGGAGAGCTCTAGGAAGTCAGATAAGACCGAGAACTCTTAAGTTCGATTCTACGACCAAGCAGAGGGCCTGACTGGGCAGGCAGGAGGGCCGCTCATCGAGAAATAATAAATACGAGGAAGGAACTCAACTAGTGGACAATACAGGAGAATCGAGAGGAGAAGACAGTTATCAAGGGAGGGGTGACGTGGATGGGACGAGGTCGGTTGGTTGACAGGGGGGCGTGAGGCTGGAGCGGGCGACAGGAGGTGACAAATCGCCCTGTCACGTGGGCATACGTCAACCTGAGCTTGTGGTTGGCGGCCAGGCGTATGTCCAAGAAATGATTCTGCAGCATATGCTGGTTGATTAAAGGTATTGATGCCGTATGCTACAGGTTTTCAGCAAATATTTGTGCTACTTCTTCACGTGCAAACAAAAGACTAGAAGTCGTGATGGTTGCACGAAATATGCCGTACATTGGGCTTCCCGAAGTGAATGCCCCTCGGCTCTAGGAGTACGAGCAGCGCTAGCTCCAGCATTGAGTTTATCGAGTCAACATAGGCAGTTTTGGTGTAAAAGTTGAGCTGGCACTAACACCATGAGTTGAGCAGCTCTACCAAGAAAATATTTTACCATCCTCACTCCTCGACTTCTGCTCTGTAGAAAAGACAGAGGTGATTCGTCATCTTGAACGGGGCTGGAACCAGGCGGGCCGGATGCTGTGGCGCATGGAGGATCGCTGCTGTGGCTGTGCACCCTGAGGCTGCGCGTCCATGACGGCCGATGACAACACCATCGCTGCCCATCCATGGTTCCCCACGCCCACTGTCTGGCTCATCGCTAGATTTCCGCAGCTTAATTGAGACCTCACTGCGAATGATAACAAACCCCAACAAACCCCCCCGCATCTGCCGTATTTTGGATTGCCTGCAAACGGCTGCTGCCGTCTACCAGGACGTAATGCCCTAACTCGCACCCAGTAATGGTGCTTTCTCGGTCTTCATATGGCTTCATCTCTTTGCTGTATGGTTTGTTTGAAGGTTTTCGTCAGTAGATGTCGTCACAGAGCTTTGAAGAGATGCAATTGTTTGTGGGAACGAAAAGTATATAAAGAACCGTATGCACGCTCGCGAGTTTTCTCCTTGAAATAGAGAGATCAATTGTAGACATATTATATCATCTCAATACTTTCCAACAATACCTGCCCATCATGTCTGACTTCATTCACAAAGTCAAGGAGGCCGTGACAGGCGACAAGCATGACAAGCATGACAAGCACGACTCCCACTCTGCCCACAATGACTCTTACGACTCCAACGACGCCAACAAGCCGACTCCCGCGTATATAGTGACCGCGGTAAGCTTGCTGCTTATCTTACCCTCTGAAGCAATGGAATGTTGCAAGCGTGCTAACGACACATGAATAGAGTGCCGATATTGGCACGAGCACGGGTGCATCCACCGGCCGTGGAGATGGCACCGGATTGACCCATGCAGGATCTCACGACTCGAGCGTCACCAACAAAGCTGGCGCCCGCGTGGACAATAACTTCAGTAAGTCCATCTCTCCTGCCTTGGAGGAGTAGGGGTCAATATTCTGACGACTACGCAGATCAGCGCCGTGCTTCGGATGGAGTGACTGGCGGCAACTACAGTACTGGTAACAACTACAGCACCGGCAGTAACTACGGTACTGGTGCAACCACCGGTGCATACAACAACAGCGGATATGGCACTGGCACGAGCAGCTCCAACTTGACAAACAAGGCCGACTCACGCCTTGACAGTGACAGGGGTACGTGCATTCTGAATGAAAATACCTACATACATACGTTTCTTTTCTTGCAATGTCTAAGCTAATTCCTTGCAGGAAACTATGGCACCACTGGCATGACTTCAGCTTCTGCTGCTGGAGGAAGCAGCCACAAATACAACACGCGCTCCTCCACCAATAATGCCGGTCTTTACGACTCCAACCTGGCCAACAAGCTGGATCAGAGAATTGACTCGAACCTGGACAACAACAGCAGCAACAGCAGCAGCAACCGCCCTCTCCACCAGAGCTTCGGCGGCGGCGACGCGCCCGCAAGCAGCAGCTACGCCACTCCGGGCTCTGGGAACTACACCCAGAAGACTAAGAATGCTGGCCTCCAGGACTCGAAGCTCCTGAACAAGCTCGATCCTCGCGTTGACTCTGAGAAACTCGACAATGCCAGCCGCACGGCTGTGGGTGGTGGATATGATACTCGTTATTAAACGTACTGTACATACATGTACACAACAAGAAGTGTGAGTTTACTTAACGTAAGCCGAGGGAGTTTTAACGTAATGTATTAATCCCCAAAGGGAATATATTTACTGCCTTCGCGCATGCGGGAGCTGTAGGTAAAATTTATCTCTATTTTGTTAATTAATTACTGTTGAGACCTCTGGTCAACTGCCCTCGGAATGATATATGGTATTAGTATTAGTTGCTAGCCAAGCATGTCACTAACTACTACTAAGTCGTCATATATAGAAGGATCGTTATATATAAGGAGCGTCATCATCACATGTAGGCATCGCCGCATTATAAGATTTTTTTTTCATCATGTGAGACATCAGAAATCGAAGAAGTCATAAAATCATCTGCAAATCAGACAAGTGAAGTAAGAACTCCCGCAACAACCATGCAGAACGTCATCTGCCAATTCAGCGGCATAGGCTTCCGACTGAGACTGCCGGCTCCCAAAAAGAGACTGGGAGACGAGCTCGACGGGCTGACACCAGATATCTTACTGGTTCCTGTACCTAGAGTGCCGGTCCCGTTCCCTGCAAAAGACGTAGGCGCAGTAAGGGTTCCCGAGGGTGCACTACTGGCCGTGCTCCCGCTGCCCGTTACGCTCACGCCACTAGTTGTGGCCACTCCAGAGCTCCCTGTAGAGGATGCAGCTCCTGTAGAGGATGCAGCTCCTGTAGAGGATGTAGCCTGCGTGCCTGACGCTTCCGAGGTTCTAGTGCCTGACACTGTCGTAAAAGTGGACGGAAGTCCAGATGATAAAGAACTTGACACCGACGACGGAGATGTCGTGGTGATCGGCGAGCTGGTAGCAGTACTGGTCCCTGCTGTCGACGTGGACGACGACTGCATATCTGGAAGCGGAGAGGATGAAGAGCCAATGCCCAGCATTTCGCAGTACCAAAGGAACTGCTCGAACTCAGGCAAGGGACCGAGAGTAACACCTTTTCCATGATAATCTATGCACTCATTGCAATTGTTGACGTCCCTTGTGAATGCGGAGTCTGAGCGGCACAGACGAGGTGTCTTCCCGAACGACTCTGCTTCGAGCATGGCGTCGTTGCACTCATCGTAACAAACACCTGGAATGAGCGGTGCCCCGCTTGCTTGCCGTTTACCCAGAAGCTCGCCCCATTGACCAGAGTTGCGCTTTTGGACTTGTGTTCCCTCGGGGAATGAAAAGATACTATAGTTCAGACCGAATTTCGTGGGGTCGAGATTGAAATATCCGGGCGTGACATTGAATTTACCAATCTCATCTGATGTCACCGGCGGACCCCAATACTGATCAGGGAGCAGCTTTGGGGCAGGTATACACTCATCCGGGCTACAGACATATGAGTCGGCCGGGGGTCCTGCCTCGAAATTACAGGCAACGCCGTTGGGTGTGTTTTTAGGATGGCAGATGAAACCAGGTGGACAACCCCAGGTGTAGTCAGTCGGAAGCGGCGCCGGGGGGGTATATGTTGGATTGACAATGCGGCTTGGGCAGACTGTCAAGGTCGTCACCGTACCCGAAACCGTAGCCGAAAAAGTTTGGCCTGTAGCAGTTGTCAGCATCCTGTCTAGTTTTCGGGAAGAAAAAAAAAGTGCTAACCAGGACTTGTTCCGGATTCCCCGGTTTGAGTGACAACACTAGTTGTGGTGACAGTTGACGTTGTCCCAGGCAGGGTAGTTATTGTTGTAACAGTACTTGCAGGAACAGTAGAGGTTGTTCCAGGCAAGGTAGTTGTGCTAGGAGGTAATGTTCTGGTAGATGTAACAGTGGATCCAGGCAGAGTAGTCACTGTTCCTGATGCAGTCACAGTGGTAGGGGGTAGAGTTGTTGTCTCGGTAGTCGTTGAGGCCGGAAGAGTGATTGTAGAGGGGGGTAGTGTCAGCGTAGTTGGTGGTATAGTGCTGACAGTGGTAACTGTTGTCCCTGGCAAAGTTGTTATGATAACAGTAGTCACTGTCGAGGTGGTTCCAGGCTCCGTAACTGTGGCCCCAGGTTCAGTAACAGTAGTCCCGGGCTCAGTAAAAGTACTTCCAGGTTCCGTAACCGTGGCCCCCGGCTCAGTGACAGTAGCGGTATTCCCAGGCTCAGTAACTGTGGCCCCAGGTTCCGTAACTGTAGCAGTAGCTCCAGGCTCGGTAACAGTGGTAGTCGTCCCAGATTCAGTAACTGTGGCTCCCGGCTCAGTAACAGTTGTACCTGAAAGTGTGGTAGTTTCTGTTTCTCCAGGAGCGGTTACAGTTGTTGTAATATCCTCTGTCGTAGACACAGTGGTACCAGGTAAGGTAACAGTGGTTCCTGAAATCGTGATGGTGTCTGTTCCTCCAGGAGCAGTTACAGTTTCGGTAATATTTTCTGTCGTTGACACAGTCACAGTTGGACCTGGAACAGGGGTCTGACCAGGGACGGTTGTCAACAATGTTGTTGTTGTTGTTGTCGTCGTAGTCGTCTCAATGGGCGATGTGACCGTGATGACAGTCCCCGAGTTAATAGTCGTCACAATGGTGGTTTCCTAGGCGGTTGTCAGCGTCGGTACAGAGACTGCCGTTGTTTCGGTACTGGAAGGGGCTGTACCGTCTCAGTTGTAATCGTCTTGGGTTCACAGAACTGCAAAATGGTTAGCCGGAGAAGCTTGCAGTTACCGATTACCATATTCTTACCGAAGGAGTCGGGGGCCACCAGCTAGTGCTGGAGCTCTGGGATACAGATTAGCGACTTGGGATCCAAAACATGGCCGGCTGAGAGGGAAAATTGACTTACCGGGCAAGTAGACGGGTACACGGTCACCGTGGTCGTCCTCTCTGGCGGAGACGTCACAGTCACCGTTTTCCAAATCTCAATCGTCTCCCAAAGGGTGATTGTGATGCCAATGTCCAGCAAGTCGCCATTGGCGGTTCCGTTGTCCAGCGCGGCAGCAATTGGGAGCAGAGCGACTGCTCCCATCAAAGTGGGCCGACTGAGCCTCATGGCAGGCGAGGACTGGATTCAACACGGACAATGCGATAACCTGCCTGGACCCAAGGTGAAGAACGTCCGCAAGAGCAGCCCAAGGAAGGAAAGGAAGACAGGAACAGTTGAGGCGGAACCGACGTTCAAAATAAAATATACGATCGGTTCCCACGTAGGGCTCGTAGCCTCATCCGGGTCCATTGCGCAACCTACTCCGTAGAGCTACGCCTAGTTGGGACCAGCAAGGCCAGACAGGCTCGTAAACCGATCGCGAGACTCCAATCAGGGCAACCATCATGGCGGGGGATGGACAGTGCGTCCCTTTAGGTCAGGCGCGCCATTCTCCGAGCGTGCATGCAGCGAAAGGCTTGGACACGCCATGACAGCTCGAGGTGGAGGATGCAGCAGAGCCGTGCGCTTTGGCATCAGTATCGCCGGTCGACAGGAAACAACAAGGCCGAGACCGCAACCGGGCTGATTTGCCAAAATTGTCACCCCGTCCAGGGTGCTGCCTGTTTGTCTCTTGCGCAGGGTCGATCGGGATGCACAGATGCGGGGATCCCTGCTGGGGGCTCGACGTGGCCGGGCGACGAGCCGTGCCGGGCAACAGCGCAACCACCCGGCCGCAGCTGCCAAAAGCGCCGGCGAACAGCTGCAGCCCGCCCAATTGGGCAGGCGACGAGAGCCGCATCGATGCCACCTCGGACCAGGACTGCGGTTCGCCGCGCCACGCATGCTCTCCTGCTCGAGCTGAGTGCAGGACGGCTCCATGGCGACGCCAGACGAGACGAGCAGTTGCTCAGCTCAGCCTTGCTCGATGTCTTGTTCTTGCCTTGTACCGTCTCGATGTCGCGCAGTAGCGGCATGGCTAGTCGTGCGTCCGGCCAATCACCACGGCACGCTTCCACTAGTTGCTGAAGCTGACCGCCGCGCTGCAGCACACTGTCCTCCTCAGGCGTCCCTCCCTCGTCGTCCTCCACTCTTTAGTTCGCTGCTGCTGTTGGATACGGCAAAAGCTGGGGACAGTCCCAATCAGAACGGTTTACAGCTCACACGGGCGGTCTGCCCTTGTCCATGGAGCTGCATATACTCCGTACGGAAAATCCGCATGCCCCCTCATGGTGCTGCTCCAAGCTCTCCCGCTCCCCAGCCGGCATGTGCGGCGATCCCAGGATAAAAATCATTCACTGTGCTCATCCACTGCCCCTCCCCGCGGACGCTTGGCAATTCGCTACGGTGGGTGAGCGAACCTGCTCCTTCTGGGATTTTTTTTTAGATCGGCCTCTGTCGCCTCCAGACTGAGGGTCGATGTTGGGAGATTGCGGACGGCGATGATCACGACCGACGAGTCTGGTGGATGAAGCCGACCGCTGTGTGTGAATAATCTTTCCTGCCTTCTGAACCGTTGTGGCATCGCAACCATGTGGCCTTCGTTCCTCGAGGGCGCAGCTGCCTTGGCGCTCGCCGGCAGTGCTCTGGCCTTGGACACTGTGAGCATGTGCAGCTGGTCTCAGTTCCGAGGTAAGGAAATCTCGACAGTCAGACCGTGTGCCTTTGTAGACTGATGAATCGCGCGCAGCGAACATTATCCAGGACACAATCTATCTGGATGGAGGTTGGCAATGGTGGCAAGTGTCGGTTTCCCACAGCCATGATTGGGCATCCGCAGACAACTGACCCAACGATAGGGGACAGACGCTTAAAGATGATGGTCGGTCTTCTCTCTCACTCCTCTACAGCATCGCTGACCGTGTCAAGGCAATGTGGAAGGGTGGCTCTATCACCTCAACCTGGGGCAATCCTTTGACCAGACGACGAACCAAACCGCATTGTTCCAAAGAACGTCCAAGACCGGCGGTCTCGCCAGCAACAACATTGCGCCGAATTACATTGACGGCGTCATGTTCGCAAATGACTACGAGCTCATTCTCTACGGGTAAGACCGTGTTCGCTCATCTCAGACATGTCGCTCACAGAAGCTAGGGGCCTTACGCGCTTGACCGATAGCCAGGACCCTCCCGCGGCAAATATTGTCACTGCCTATGAAGCATACCAATATGGTCCCGAAAGAACATCCTGGGAACCTGGTTTTATCCAAAAAACCCTGCCCCAGAATGTGACCCGTTACATCACGAATGGCGCTGGCGTCTCGGCGCCAAGCGAAAATCTGGGATTCTACTTCAGTGGGATGCGGGGAGCAGATTGGGGACTGATTCAGGAAGGTGATCAGTCCGCAAATACCACGGCAAACACTCTCATCACAGTGGATATGTCTGTGATGAGGAACGAGACGTGGACCAATGACACCCTGCCGGATAACATTCCTGGCAGAGCCAATGCAGAGCTGGTCTGGCTACCCGTGTCAGAGTCAGGAGCTCTGGTCGCCATCGGAGGAGTGATCAACCCCGAGTCGCTGACGGTGACTCAAGGTTTGACAGAATCTCAGGCCGCTGCCAGTGTATGTGGACTTCTCTCTCCTATCATCCGGGTCAACTTCTCACCGCATGCAGAAGCGAATCAGTCCGACTTTCATGGAAACCGTGTCTATCTATGACGTGGCGAATAAGCGATGGTAAACATGCTCAGTCCTCGACATTGTCCATTGCGCTGACCAGGACCAGGTACCAACAAAACACCACGGGCGATATCCCCCCTCAATTGACGCTTTTCTGCTCGGTGGTTGCCGAAGCTGAGGATAGGAGTTCCTTTAACATCTATATTTACGGGGGATATGATGGAATCAACGCCACGGAAATCCCTTCTGACGACGTCTATGTCCTGTCCATCCCGTCATTCACCTGGATCAAAGTATATTCGGGGCAGCCTACGCATGGTCGAACCGGGCACAAGTGTGTGAAGGTGTACCCGGATCAAATGTTCGTCCTCGGGGGCCAATTTGCAGGAAACCCAGCCATATGCCTGGACGGTGGCATTATCCAAGTCTTCAATCTGAATACGCTCCGATTTCAAGATTCTTACAATCCTCTAAACTGGAGCGCATACGAAGTTCCGTCTCTGATTACCTCTCAGATTGGTGGAAAGTAAGTGTGCCGTGGATCATCATCCCCTACTTGTAGTTACTAAGTGTCGCAGTGGCAAAGGTGGTGCTACCAAGACCTCTCCATCTGCCTGGAACGACGACGGTCTTTCTTCTTTGTTTTCGACCAAGTACACCAAACCTATTGCGACTTATTATCCATACAAACCTCTGAATTCATCGACTCCGACTCCGACTGCAACGCCCACCATAGTGCCTCAAAAAAATGGTGGCGGATTCCCCGGTTGGGCTGGTGCCATCATTGGAGTCCTGCTTGGCATGCTCATCCTCGTGTCGTTAATCGCCGGCTTCCTGTTGTACCGACGACGACGCAAGGATGGCTCGGGATACGGATCCAACTCGTCGGGCCGCCGGGCATCGATCCTGAACTGGCTGTACGCAACTCGTGCCAAGTCCTCCACAAAGACGGCCTCGGAACTTGGGGGCACTGAGAAAGACTTCCCTGGGACGGCATCCTTGTCTTCGCGAGCTTTGTCACCTATTTCTCGCGTTTCGGTCCCACGAGAAGCAGCTAGTACACCGGTTCATGAGCTTGAGAGTAAGTATCCCTTTCGATTTTAGTGATAGTGTACTCACCCATGTTCATCAGCGGCTCCCCAACTGCGATACGAGCTCCCGACGGAGTACAATACGCCTGCCAATGATGATCGCCATCGTCATCGGCACACGCCCTCTGTTGATAGTGTGCTCCATGGGTCCTCCGAACAAACTCCCTCCGAGTCAGGATACTCAGAAGCGAGTTCCCAACAGACACGAGCTGCCCATCGCCATCAAAACAGTGACATAAGCAGTCCACTGTCTGATATTTCCGAACTCCCAGCGGAGGAAGCAAGGCACTCTCGTCATATCTCGGATATATCTGGCGATGGTACAAATCCAGTGAATGTCATTCCAGAAGAGCATCGAAACTGAATCAGTTCGATACGACCGGAGTTCCCAAATGAGAAAGCGGAGAGATTCGTGGCTGTACAGCAAGATCCTTGAATGGATTCGATTAACGACCAAATCGGCATTCAACGGTACATTCTTGACAGCGTTCACGTTGTAATCACGATTGAAGATTTCTGTTTGTGTACAGATTTTTTTGACGAGTTATGTATCGTTCCACTCTCATTTCGTTTCTTGCCGTCTTGCCCAGTTCTGGTTTGGGGGGACGGATTGCCTGGACGATGGGAGGGAAATACGACGTCGGTAGAGGAGTTCGGCGGGTTATCTTTGTATTTATTGACCTAGTATAATGGTACCTAATGTCAGCATCAACAAATTTTGAGTTTCCAGGATTTCAGTACGAAGTCCGATGTGTGCGTGGATCTTGCACTTGCGCTCGATGTGAGGAGGAGTGTACCAAGGGTTAGGAATTTAGGGTTAACTTGCCCTATTCCATTCGAGTGTATGTACCCCACTGGACATACACTGGAGAGTTCAAAGTCTGCCACCTTCATGCCCCATATGGCAGCGCATTTGGTTTCTATGATCCCAGACACTAATCGATCAAAGAGAGAAGAACTGGACTTGAATACTCGACGTTCTCCAGCGTTGGTGACTGTCCTCGATAGGGTTAGGTTGAATCCTAATCGCGCTTAACCCTTTTAGGAACTGTATACTGTCGACCTTAACTTCTGGTTACAGTAACAACCTGTTGTCAACTGTAGTGGTGAATACAAGAGGACTGATCACTCAGGGAGTTCTAAGAACGTAATCGGGTCATTTTCTGGTAGCGATACTCACTTCTGCTGATATTCATTTCAGGAGTCCTCTTATTGGATGGAAGTTTTAAAGCCTCCATGCTATATCATACGGTATACCAGATTGCTAAGAGAATTTTTGTTGCCAATACGGGCAGGTGTGCGGCATTTTGAAGGTTTTATCATGTATCTTCAGAGTCGAAAAGGAGAAATCCTATGCATATCTCCTGTTTATGGCCCCGATCTCTGTCGACTTTCGCATCCCAAGCAAATGCTTAATCAAGTCTTCGGGACTGAACGGGGATCTGTTCGAAGGCAATTCCTGCTCCTTGAGGATGGAGGGACGTATAATAGTACTGGGGTCGAATTGTATTAATTTAGCAATCCCTGGTGAAATGGGAAAGTTAGCGTTGTGCATTGCATTAACCATATAACACTGCTGAAAAGAGAAGGGAGGAATGGCATAGCTGTTATAGAATGATTGGACAGAGCACATCAGCTCTTGGAGAAGGCGGTCTGTTTGTGGATTTACCCAGACTTTGGATGAATGATGCAGGCTGGGCAGTGCTTTCTCTCTCTGGCTGCAGACAGTTCGCAAGGAAGGTGGGGACTTACACCTCCTCTAAAGACAAACTATCTTTCAAGAGACAGACTGGTTCCCATCAGCAAAGGCAGTGAATGAGACAATCTCAAGGCTGCCTTGTTCCTTTCACATAAGACTTGCACAAAGGGTGAGCTGATCACCACTGTCACATGGGATGAAAGATCCTGTAGTGAGTAGAGTGGAAGTCTCAAGATGCCTGAAGGGGTAAAACCAAAAAAGAACCGTCGTCGTGAGTCTCCTCTGTCAATGATAACTGTATTTGGCCAATGGAAAGAACAAAACCAAGCTGTTTGATAGCTGCTATGCTAACAAGCAGGTATGACGATCCAGGTCAGAGAGCCCGCCGGAAGAGAGAACCCATAACTGTTGATCGAATGGCTCCAGGGAGAGCGCCTGTGGGTTTCTTTGCTGCAGACATCGGGGAATACACGCCATGCTTTGTTGATGGCCGACGCTCAGCGATACGGTCAAGTGAGGAATCAGGGGACTCTTCCTCTCTCACCCCCTCTCACGATCGCGTCCATCTTACCAGTTCGCCCTCTCTCCTGTCCTTTGACAGATCCTGTGCTTCCTTCCAAGGTTATCGTGGTCCATCACCCCCATCAATCCTTCAGCCTCCGGCCCATACTCCCGCCCCAGATAAGTCCAGCGATCTTCCCTCTTACTCATCCTCCCTTCCTCTCCAACCATCTTCATCTTCTGCTTCCGATTTTCGAGGCCCGGGTTCTTCGTCTTATTCCCTATCGACTACTACACTCCCTCCTCCAGAATCAGCAGTTCTCGATCGTGTGCCATCTGTTCCTCCTCTGAAAACGACGCCAGCTTTCACATCCTCACGCGCTGCAGCCTCAACGCCGTACACGTCAGAGATGCCGCCCCTTGGACCATCTTTGACTTCACAAGCTCGAGCAGCAGAACTGAATGCTGCCACTGCTGCCAGGGCCAGATACAGGAATGGAGAGCTGAGCGATCTTAGTGAGCTTCCGTCATCTCGACCCATATCTCTGGGAGAATTGTCCAGCAGAAGCAACTCCCGGAACAAAGGCTCGAAGGCATGGAAGCCGTTTCCACTCACTGATGTCGAAGAGTCTTCTGAGCCAGTTGAACCTGTGCCAAATAAACCAACTGTCAGACCACCCAGCACTCAGTTCCATCCGTCTTTTCACTTGGATACTCCACACTCTAAGCTCACCCAGCACCCTCTTCCTACCGCAGAGGCGCCTGTTCTTGTCCAGAGATCGTCGGACAGGAACCCCAGAAACATGGAGAATAGGCCATGGTTTCATGAGATGGTCACACAGATCCAGAGGAACCCCTTAGGTTACCTTGGTGTCCTTGAGGATATCGGGAACAATTCCATGTCTCAGCGCTTTGCAGTGCCTGTACCAAACGAGGGAAAACATCGTGATATTGACCGTCCGCTGGCACCACAGGACGTCAGCCCTACTAAGCAGGAAGAGAAAACTGCCTACAGAGGATTTCAGCAAAATAACCTCTTCCAGCAGGACAAGCTATTCATGACAGTGACCCAGTCTGATCCATACGTCCAGGACTATCAGATTGTTTCCGAGATGTCTCGCCTGAAAGGTCCCGAGACCTCTGATCCATTCGTCTATCCTCCTCAGCAGTACGGACAGATCGAGTTTCACAACCAGCCAGCACAAGTCCAGCAAGTCCAGGCTCCGTTACCTCATACTCCAGAGCGTCATTATGGCTTACAGACACCTGTCCGACGTGTGAACGGTCGCATTGGGGCCGACACTGGATTATCAATGATGGCTGCGAATCCAGCAGCCTCCTCCGTTCAACGCGGCCCCTCCACGCCCTCACAGAATGGCATTAACATCACCGCCAAGTACAGCGAGGAAAGAAACACGTCAAAAAAGACAGAGATATATGACGCAAAACGTGAGATGACTGCATATCTGAATAGCGTTGTCGAAGCTTCGATGTCGAACAAGGGCAAGATCGCATTAGATGATCCGTTTGTGCCGAAGAGCGCATCGATATTGACAAAGAAAGAGCCGGAAGCCCCCAATCAGCAGAACGGCACGTCACCTATGCGCGTCAATCCCTATGATCCCTTGAAGAGTAATCAAGAGAGCAATGCACCAGCCTCTCAGAGCGACTCCCTTTCAAATGTATCCAAAGTTTCTTTGCTCCCCTCTTTTGAAGGATTTCATCCAATGTCTAAATCGGAACGAGTGCTCTTTTCATCTGATCTGGTCAAGAAAGTCGGGAAGAGCTTGGAAGGGCCGAGTGTAACTGAAACACCACGAGTTGATGGAAGCGTTAAGCGTCCCCCTCCAGGACTTGCCCATCCAAGTGGCCCAGGTGCTGCGTCGTTTTCCGCTAGCCACACTTCGGCTGCTATTGAGAGACTGCTGGAAGCCGATCGTTGGTTTCATGCTGATGGGCGAGGAGAAAAGGTGTTCCGTCACCAGGTTCTCGCTATTGCTCAAGAAGAGGCTGCAAAGCGTAAGATGCTTAGGGGGCCAATCCGCCCTGTGGAGGAAGAATCTCTTTTCGAGACGAACACACTGCTCTTGGGCAATGTTATTGCGAATTTGCGTTCATATGTCGTTGGAGATCGAAAGGAACAATTTGGAAATTTTGCCAATTTCGGACCAGTACCGTACCATTGCTGCGAGCCCAGTCATGGCGGTCGTCGCAGCTATTTTGACAGCGATCCGTCTGTTGGCCAGTGGAGGCTGCCAACCGGCCGCGCGTTTCACAACTTCTCATACAGGCCGGTTCAGAGGTTTGCCAACAATCCGTTTGCCAGATCTCTGGTATTTAGCAAATGAACAGGCTTCGACTATTGCTGTACTTTTGCATCTCATGGATATGTCGTCCCTGTTTCACGAATTCAATATCTTCTCATGGTATCCATAGTTTTCAAGTGTGTGTTGGGAATTGTGTTTACTGGACAAGCATCACATTACCCGATCAGAGAGAGAAGAGAGAATATTGTGTCTCCTTCTGTTCCCCCAGAGGATTTTGTCTCACCGCCAAGAATGTGATATGTTGGGCAGAACATGGGAATTTTCTCTTTTCTTCCTTCAAAGTGGTCTCTAATATTTTTTTTCTCATCGTGTGGATCGTGATCACGACGTCTAATGAAGATAAATAGCATCACATCATACCACATCAGTCGTCATCACGTTGAAATCCCGAAATCCTGTACATGTATGTACCTAATTATTTAATTATTGCAGCATCATGTATGTACAGTACCTTACTTATTTGGGACCAATGTGAAGTTACCTTAGGTACAGCTACATACATAGGTAGATTGACACACATAAATAAATTCTCGAAGAACTAATTCTTGCTATCCAAATCAACATCCAAGATCGCTCACAATGAGAACATTAAATAATTTTATTTTCAAGTGCAATTTACTTGTAAAGCATGGGGCAAGCCATGAGAGAGACCCTGCTCAAATAAATATATATATTGATCGACAGAACTCCTTAACGCAAAACAGACAGTAAATACGATAATAAGTGACATCAGGGTATTAGTTTACCATTGATTAAGTAGAGCCCGGTAATTTTATTTTATTTTTCATGTAGGTACATGTACATACGTACGTACGTATTGTATTATGGTATGTAGGTTAAGTAAGTAGGTAAGTAAGTAGGTACTGTACTGTACTGTACTGTACAACATCGCTCGAGGAATTGACATGCTCTGTCTGGGCTGTACGGGTGCGAGGATTAAAAAATAAAAAAAATAAAAAAAAGGCAGGCGTATGTATGGAGGTGGATGGGTGGGTAGACGGGAAAAGGGAAAAAAGAGGTAACAACTAATAAATGGGCCGCGCGGCAATGGTATTGAACGGGCATCAAGAAGAAGGGGTGGGAAAAAAGAAATTTAAGAAAGAGAAACAACATTTAAATCCTCCGATACAACTGGCTAATGATTCTCTGCCCAAGCAAGCAAGTCCTTGACGCCGTAAAAAAGAGAAAAAGAAATGATACCGTACGAAAACGTCATCATCAAGCATTGAAATGGATGGTGCAGTTGCAACACGTCAATTATTGCGCCGTAGGGTCGGGTCTGGTCTGGTCTGGTCTGGTCTGCTCTATGCGGAATTCGCGACACACGTGAAGAGGAAAACATTCGGTCCGGTCAGTCTAGCAAGTAACCAGATTGATATGATTATCATGCAAGGCTGAACACGCAAGAAGAGTCCGGTGAGGGTGGAATGCCGTGCTCGAAATCGGCGAAGAGCGGTTGTGATGGAGGAAGCTCGAGTACGGCTCGTAGTTGGAAAGCAAGGTCCCGTCGACGTTGAAAGTCTTGACCTCGTGCCGGTTTGTGCCACTTTGTATTAAAGTTAGTATAAGAAAAAAAATCCAACAAAAGAATAACGAAAAGAGAAGCCTACATTGTGAAGACAGGTGCATGTTCGTGGACACTCAACGTGCGTAGCGTATCTTTCGTCGCGTAGATCGTGTTGATCGGATCATTCATTCGGAGATCCCACAGTCGAATCTCACCGTTCCGGCTTCCCGAGATCAACTCTCTCACGCCACCTCGCTGCATGTGGACGTTGGTGATCCACTGCTTGTGCTCACGCCAGACCTTGACCATGGCGGTCGTAGGCTTGAGGCGTTGGTCGAAAACACGCACTGCCCCATCTCCAAATCCTGCAACGAAGATGTTTCCGGCAACTTGATCCGATGTCAGAGAAGTGATGCATGACCCCGAACGTGCTGATATGTCCTGTTAAGAGTCAATAGCTAATCCACAGGAATTGAAGGACGACGGGAGCTCGTACGGTCGTGCAAACTTCAGTAGCCGCGTTCCAGACCCTGATCACCTTCACGTCGCCAGCCACCAGAACCTTTCCTTGGCCTTGTTGCCAATCAAAAACCAGGCCCGCATTTCTGTTGCTTGGAATGAGTTCTGGCAAGGCACGGAAAGCAGTGACAATTTCCACATCCTTTGGAGATTCGTAATTTCTGAAGATTTTCAAAACGCCGTCTGATGAACCTGTCATCAACAGCGCTTGATCATCTTCATTGATGTACCGAATCTCATTTATCTTGGAACCAGGTGGGTTGCCGTTCGAAAAGCGGTTGAGGCGGATGTTTCGCTGCCAATCCCATATTCTGGGTTTGAAATTAGTAGACTGGCCTTTGATTGTCTTGTCCCAGACTTACGAGATAGTGTCTCTGTCATCTCCAACTGCAAGTTGGTCCTCGAATTGATGGAAGCACAACTTCATGGGCTGGGTGTCATTTGTCAACAATGCCATTGAATGTTGCCATCGACTGCTGCCGGCTTTCTCCTTCAACGGTTGCGTTTCTGCTATAATCTTTTCGTTTCGGCTCCGTCGCCAGAGACGCTCGTTGTAGTCAGCGCTGCCAGGCTCATCGGGCTCATTGGGCTTCATCTGTGGTTCTCGGAAATACTACATGTTGGTTAGCAAAAAAAAATCTCCTAGTCTGGGAATAATTTCCAAACAATGACTCACCTCGGTGGACCACTCAAGGAATCTGCTCTTCAAGGGTATAACAGGAGGTGCAAGCGGATCCCTGGGTTCAAATCCTCGTGAGGTTGGAGTAGGAGCTTGATGATATGCTGCAGCAGGAGCGACCTCGTCGTTCACCTCAGGAGGTCTAGTCCATTCCGGTGGAGCTCGTCCTCGAGGGGTTATGGGCACCCTGCCTTTGACGGGGGATGTCTTCGGTTTAGGAGACGGAGGTCTCTGCTCCGTTGATGAAGAACTACCAAAAGCAAGGTTCTTGAGCGAAGCCGCAACACTAGCCGTCCTCTTCATGCTCAATGAGAAGTACCCTTCTTGTTTTTGCTGAGGCTGCGACGGTGGGGTTCCTGGACGCGAGGCTTTGGTTTCGGGCGCTTCTGCAGACTGTGGCTTTGATGAATTAAGACGATTGGTGATTTCCATAATTTCATCTCTGATTTTGGCAGTCAGACTGGCCATCGGAGATTGCAAAAGCGCCAAGTGGATATAGTCAACAATTATGCTGGCGTCCTGGGCGATGTCAGGATGCGGGTCCACGGAAAGAATGAGCAATTGCTTCCAAATCGTCCCAAAGGTGGTATTGCGAGACAGAGAGTGGAAATCGCCGTGAGAATCTTCGGCGCCGTTTTGCATAGCCCCCCCGTTAAGGTGAAGGGAATGCGATGTTTCGTCCTGGAGTTTACGGAGAAGCATGTGTTTCTCCTCCACCAATTCCTCATATGCCGCGACCAGAAACTTGTTTTGGTAACGTTTCACGAAGGTCGAGAAAAATACCAGAAGTTCTTTCCTGACCAGCGCACTTCCATCCGCAGCCATCGGCAATATCGCCATAGCAATGGACTCCTCAATCTGAGCAACCTGGTCCGTCAGGTCCGGGATGCCGAGGAAATTCGTCAAGGCATGCAGCATAGCAGCTCGTACTTCAGGGACTGGATCGAAGTTGAGCTCGCAAAGTCTTTGTGGGGCAGAGCAGCGGATACCCATCCATTTCGCATCAGGGAAATCCAGCCAGAGCATGCTCAAGCAGAGGCAAGACCATTGTCGAAGCAGAGGATTCTCTACATCCGTCAGGTGCTTCAAGCAAGAGTCGAAAAGCTCCGGTGAAAGGCACACGTTCTGGCCTTGAGGGTAATTCTTGCAGAATATAGAGACGATAAATGCGCACATCGCTCGATGTTCACTGGCATTCCCGACAGGAATAGGTGATGAAGGGTTCAAGATCGTGATGAAGTAATGGATACCGTTGTCTTTCAAGAGATCATTCTGCACGGTATGGTCGACTGCCATTATCCGTGCCCAGATGAAGACCATGACTGGCTTGAGCTCCTGCGCGGCTGACTGCAACAGCTTGACCACATAGGGGAAGATACCAATGCTAAGAGCCAGATGGACCGCCCAGGGGCCAAGATCGAGGAACTTGCTTAAAAGAATCAAAGCCCGCAATCGATGTGCTTGACTTAGGAGCACTTGCAGAACGATCGGCAACTGATCGGGAGGATTCTTCTCTGTGGGACCAGACGAAAGATAAACCTCGAACGCGGTTAATTGCTCGGCAAAGAAGGTGGAATGCTGATATTCATAGTGCCTGCGTCCCTCCTCATGCTCAATCAGGGCCGGGAGTTGGTTCAAGACCATCTCGATAGCTAAATCCCAACTTTGCCAAAGCGGATGGTTGTGGGTTTCTGGCAGCTCGGGCGAAGACATCGGGTGACATTGATATGTACGCATTATGCGTTCCGAGAGCAGGAAATTCCGGAACAGGGCCGCGACCATAAGGTCCTGTCGGAAGAGCTTCTTGAACAAAGGCCGTGGAAGGGTATTCCACGCAATAGTGTCGGTAATCGCCGTGAAGATCCAGTTGAGCTCCCCAAGGGGACTTCTGCGATCCTGAAGTCGTCCGGGGATTCTGAACTCATCAATGGAGATGTTCATCGGCAGAGGGTTTTGCAGGATAAAGTATCGAAGAGCGATTTCAATGGGAGTGGTTAGACAGCAAGTGAACAGATCGGCCGGTAAGTCGGGATTGGTAGGTAGAGTCTCATTCTTTTGACAAGCTGCCAGCAAAATGCAGTCGCTGTAATTCTGCACGGGGGCATTTGGATCTCGCTTCTTTGCCTCCATGTTCTCCTTTTCATGCTTTTCGATAAACGCGTGGAAATTGTGTACAATGTTGCCGGCATGAGAAACGTCAAAGACGAACAGACTAGGTCCTGCAAGCCACGACTGCAGATCGTATAGCGACACTGGGATGTACTGAGTGTAGTTCTTATTGAAAACCCAGATCTCGCCAGATTGGGTCGGCAGTGGCACTCCATGACCATTGTAGTGGAACAGCACTCTCTCGTCCTTGGCATTTCGACGAAGCGAGATACAGAATTTCTTCGTTTCATCCACAGAGGGGTCCAGATACTGTTTGTATCTTGTCCTCAAGCTGAGGGTCTCGTATTGCTCCTGCAACTTCTTTCCAATCTGCTCCATTATCTTGTTTTGACCGCCACCGGTGGTTGCTGTTGGATCCACCCAGCATTCTAGCTTCGCCGAGGGGTTCGTCTTGACAACATCGGGAGGATCGACGCCGATATTGAGGCAGATGGCCAACGCAGCGGAGACTGTCTTCAGACGATCCCTCATACGCCAGTCCTGGTTCGCCCAGCTTTCATCCGGTTCCTTGGGGATACCGCTCGTCTCATGGCGCTTTTCGGTGAAGTACATGTAAAAGTTCTACAAAATTGTAAGCCACCGGTATAAGCACGGCGCCACAGGACGAACTGTACTCACCGAATGCAGGATCTTCAAGTACTCGCTTGAAGTATACTCCTCCTGCCATCCATGCCTCATTGCAAAATCATCATCGTCCCCTGAGACTGATCGGTCGACCCCTGATCTTGGTCCGTAGTCGCTCCTCGTGCGTTGCAGAGCTGGGGCCTGTCGTCCGACCGAGGCTCGATCCGGAGGTCCATCTGCAGCAGTCGTCTTCTCCGCCGAGCTGTTTGGTCGTGCTGGAGTGGAAGTCAAATCCGGTCTCTGCGATTCCACGCTCGTAAAGGATCGGTGATGTGCGGCCACCGGTCTGGGGGACCCATCACGAGGACGGATGTCCGCATCTGTCGCAGGACCAAATGTTACGCGAGCTCTTCGAGGTTCAGCTGCTGGCGCGATGGCTTCCTGCCCTGTAGGGTTTTGTTCCATATTCAAATTTGGGTCTCTCATGACGGATAGTTGCTCATGGCGCAGGAGCTATAGGGTTCACAACTGTGATATCAACTGGAAAATCGATGCAGCCTAGAACACTGGAAAGTGCACTGCACAAGACATTGTTAGCATTAGAACACCACTTGGTTCAAATAAAAAAAGTCGTAGCGAAAGTGGGGGAAGGCTCCATCCGCACCTGACTGACCATGTTCTTGCTGTGCACTGATCCCAAGGCTATTATCGATATACGGCGCGGGATCCGTCAGTGACCGCCTATTCCAGCAACCCAACAGCGTCGAACCACGTTCAGAGGCAGCCAAAGGATGTAAGGTGTCTCTGCATGCAGCAGCTCATAGATCCCACTTGAGAGGTCAACCACTCAAGGGTTCTGGAGTTTTGTCCATGAGCTTGGTGCGAGTGTGAATGATCGTGAGGCCTCGCGGTGAGGCTCTTGGGCCTTGGCACGGCCGGGCACTTCGGAACATTGTACCGCCGAAGCACTTCCGCTCGCAGCCATTTTATTGCTAGTCGCGTGCTCCTCGATGTCCCTGCAAGAGCCCAAGGACTTTGTACGCATTCTATTCTATTTTCTATGCTAGAAAGCTTTAAAGGAAGCTAACTTCGCCTTCTTTCCCTTTTTATGTCCCTTTAGAACTTCTCTACTCTTAGAGCTTTCTCCATGAAAAGATGACATTGTTGTAATCCACGACCACCGTGTAGAGTTGACTGCACTCTTCAACATTAATAATATTGACTACATTTGTGCAGACTACTGTAGTAGGCGACAGAGATTTCGTGATGAAGAGTGGGCTTCGGAAATCTCGAACTCAGCGATGGTCCCGCACCGCAAGCTGATGGGGAAATCGTGTCCACTGTCATCATCGGACATCACCCGTTTCTTTTCTGTTGAACGAGCTTAAGTTTCTCCACAAGATAACGATGACAAGAGCATCTTGCCAGTTTGCAAGTTTGCAAATAATAGGTGGTGACCTCGGAGATCCACAAGTTAAGTCGAGTGTCCGATGCTCAGCTGTAAGGGCCCAAACAGACGCTGACACTATGCATGAACGGGGAAATTATCGTCGACAGGGTCTTATGGCACAAGACCTCTTCATACGGGATCTGTGAAGGTTTTTACGGAGTAATGGCAA